ATTAGGTGGTTTCTTAATGGTTAATGTGTGATTACTATTCATTCTGTCTATTAGCTGACTTTGCGCAATGATAAACTATTGTTCATTGAGTTCATTATAAGGAGGTCGTAGGTTATTGTCTGTAAATTAAACTGTAGGTTTGGGAGCAGATCACTGAAGTGTGTCAGAGCGTCATCTCAGCCTTCATTTCTGCTTCATTTTACACCTCATCGTAATTTATGGTCTTAGACTCTTCATGTCCGGCTAAGATTTAGAATATGGGGAGTCACAAAGACTGAGGAAGAGGTCTGAGAATGCTCTGTGTGCTCGGTAACAGGGTCACTTGCGTCTGTAAACATCTCATAAGTGCAGGTCCAGAGCCAAGTACACGCCTAGTGCCCACATGAGTAAAGGCTTTACATTCAGTTGAGCACAGGAGGGTTTGAGGTCTCCACCCATTCATTATAATGATTTTGGTGGGGTGGGGAGGGAGTATTGATTGGTCTACAACCCCCCCCCCCACCACCACCACCATAATTTATGTCCATGCACATTGTTTTTCTCTTTCCTGTGTGGTTACAGTGCTGTACATGTTACCATATGTGTTTACCGTTTATGCTGTTTGTGAGCATAATATCGCACAATGGACATAAATGCTGCATACTGTATGTGTGAAGCACTAGAGTTTTCTGCTGGGATTCTGGGCCTCTTCTCCTTAGGCTTTCTTTTTCTTTGTTACTTTGTTTTTTTAATCCTCTCAGCAAACTATCTTTGAATATCAGTTACTTGTGTGTGGATTGCCCCACAACGTTTTATCCTTTTGTAGCTTTTATATGACAGATGGCGAGGCTGATGGTAGATTGTCTTTTCTCGTTATTTTCCCAGAGGCTGGGCTGTACTTCTGATTATAGAAAATGCTTTTCGATTCTTTTTTACCAGCAAGCAACAAAAAAAACCATGAAGTGCGAACTGTGATTTTGGCTCGAAATGGCAAACTGGAATAGGAAGAGCAGCCTGATGAAATACTGTAAAAGTTACCTTCCCCTCTAAAAGGGCACCCATGTGGAATTTTGGAAGAGGTTTCACAAAGTCTGTATGCCTTTGTGCAGTTTGGAGTAGCAGATGCCAGTCCTGTTTGGTGAGTGACGCAATGCCATAGAATTTCTCACATAACTGCACAAAATTGTTGATAGTTTCAACCTACATCAGCTTGATATTTTATTATGCCTCATATTGCATTAAACAAGCTGCTGTTTAGAAACTTTGGATATTGGTAACAAGAATTATTTCTGCTGATTTGATGGAGGGTATACATTTTAAGGATGGAGTTTGGTTCCACTGTTTGTTACCAGACAGCACCAGAGGCTCCTGGTTTATCCCAACACAGAACTTGGTCTGTGTTCATATTGGTCTTGGATTAAAAGTGTTTAAATGTTCAGATACAAGCAAGCATAGTGGTCTGTATTAAGCAGTTTTTCATGGAATCATGTGTGCGTGTAGTAGGTGTGGCATGTAATGCATGCTGAGTGGTGCATCGCATGTCCAACGCGTCACTGTATGCGTAGATGTGTGCTGGGCGTTTGCGTTCCATTTCTGTCCGCGCGTGGGGGGCGGTTCTCTAAAGACACGCGCACCGTGAATCATCAAACACGGGGCTCCTACATGCCTTAATCGTGGATTTGGAATATTCCTCGTCTGTATTTAACCTGTGTCGGTCTTAGCTCGTTAATGATCAGATTTTGTTATGTAAACATAACGGTTAGATGATGCTTGGGTAACATGAATAATATATCATTTTCCTTACAGGTTGAACAGTGTCTGTTGTTCTGTGTTATTAGAAAATCTTTTATTATTGTGGACAATGGTTTTTATGGCTTTTTACATGTATTATGCCTTGGAATGCAGCAGGCAGCACAGAGATACAGGCATGGGTGATGTTATCTGCGCTATTCAACCAGTTTCGCATAATCCATTTTAGAAGTGTCTAATGTCAGTAGCAATGCACTCTGGGAGCCCCATGTCAGTGAGTATGTTTACGAAGCAAAATTCTCAGTGTTAATTTAATGCTGAGAACTTTATTATGAATGTATTAGTATTGGTAGTCATGCTGTATAAGCACACATGGGTATTACATACCTGATGAACGAGGGCTGCACATGTCCTTAGTTTCAGAAACCGCACCTGGCAAGCAAATCGTCCCTTTGCCTTTGACTTTCTCACAGGGCACTGTGCAACATAAAGGCTCCTGCTGCTTAGCCCACATCTCACAATCCATCTTAATTACAGAGGCCAGTGCTAATTGCTGGTTTTCATCATAATTAATGAAGGGAAAGTCATGAGAAGTTGTGGCTTTTCTCATTCTTTTCATTGTTTGAGTGAGATTGCATGTGACAATTTAACACAAACCAACCCAATTCTGGATATATAGACTGTGTCATTCCCTTTCACATGCAGTCAGACCCCCTCAGATACCGAGAGCCATAATGGGGGGGGTCCCATAGTCTCAGGTAATGACTTCTGCTCTGGTCAGCAGCTGCCCGGCGGCAATAACAATCAGCACGCCTGCGAGTCGGTGTGGCTGTCTATCATCCCACCCGGCCGCTGCCGTTAAAAATTAATCACTGTGTTCTCTGGTCCGTTCGAATTTGCTGGCACAGCACCCCAGCGAGATTGGTCACACTTCCTGGTCACAGCGCCTTCCGAACGCGCCCTGGCGGAGTCCTGGCGTTGCGCAGTCGGGGCTGTCACTCCCAGGGCACTCTGGGAGCCGCAGAAGGATGGTGTGTATGCGCTGTGCGGTGAATGATCATTTTTGGGATCATTGCTTTCAGAATAGCTAAGCTTTTACTAACACTGAGTTTCTGTTTTGGCAGAATTTCCTGAGAAACCTTGACTTAAATAGAGCAAACCTTAGTCGACTGATAGATAAATATACGTGGGATTAACTGTCCCCCCCAGTTAACATTCCCCACCGTTCCCAGGCTCCACCCAGTGCAGCTTGCCCCTCTTGTGCCCTCGAGCCTCATCAGCTTGAGCATGAAATCCCACTGCCACTGCTGCTCTCTTATTAAGTGCTCGCATACCTCTGCCGCCAGCCACACGCCGAGATCAAGCTTTTGCCGGGGTGTGGGTGTGGGGGGCATGCAGGATATTTACAGTCTGCTCTGCATTGCCACCGTCTGTCCTCGCGAACATGACCCAGAACCCCACGGGGATCTTCCGGGGATCTTCCGCAGGCTCTCCTCCGGACTGGAGCCGGACTCCGGACCCCGTGCTCCTTCCTGCCAAGCCTCTGGTTTCCTGCGGCTTCTCAGGCTGTGATGTTACCTTCTCGCAGTCTTGTGAGTGGACTTTGGTGCCATGCTGCTCCTTATTCTTGTCATTCTCAAACAAGGGCAGCAGTATTGCTTATATAGTAAAATAACCAATATCAGTCCTGCTTCGTTTATATAAGGAATGAACTGTCAAACACCAGTTCTCCTCAATTTACATTATTTATTGACTCATATTGCTGCACTCTGTCTTACTGCCAGGAAGTCAGCTTCTCACAGCATAAAACACTGTTGATTTTTCTGCTAGACTTGAATCACTTTTCCTTTTTTAGAGAGATTATTGTATAGTCCCCCAGTTCACAGATTATCAGCAAGCATTCCTACCCAGCCAAACCTTCTTTTCCCAGACTGTCACCATCTCCTAAAACTTATCTCTGGAGATTTAGCGGATTTGCCGTTTGGAAGTCGATGAGCTCGTGTGCTTCCTTTGGGATCCCTGCAAAGTTTATTGCAAAGTTTGGTGCATGTTAGACCCGCTGGCGAACTTTCGTCCCCAAAGGAGCAGAAGACGAGTGAAGGAGAGGCCTCAACAGAGCAGAAACTCAAAAACCTCTGATACACGTGCCTTGATGTGTAACATCAGCTCACCTTCTTATCAGCTTGTGATATATACATGTATCTCAAGGTGCTTATCACTCGCCATTTCAGTCTGTGCTTCCTTGAGCTTGGAGAGTTCTGAATGTCATGACAGTACTGATTTATCTGCTTTATTTCCGTCTAAACGTGGCTGTAGGTTCACCTTCTGCATCAGTCGTTCAATGCCTGGAAGGTATAATCAATAATCCTCCTTCCACACGGCCGCAGCTTGGCTTTACCTGCATAAACCACTTCCCAGATAACTGAGTGTTCAGAGGCAGTTTACCTCTCCTCCGCCATATAAACAGTATTAATAGGAATTACTTACTGTTTATATATTTGTCTTTTTTTTTTGCCATGGTTGCATAACATAACTTTTAGAACATCAGGGACAGTTATAAATAAACTTCAAATCTCAGATATTCCTTAGGAAGAAGAGGCTATAAAAATAGATGCATGTTTTGCATTTCTGGTAGCTGGCATCTGCGCACACATTGCAGCGATGAGCAACGCGTCTGTCTGACTTCTGCTCCTTCGATGTATGGCTTTGAATCCGAGCCCTGGGTCTTTGTGAGAGATCTGTGGGTAGTGGACGTGGTGGGTGTTGTGACTAGGTGCTGTGGGCCAGACTGGAGCATGGGGGCAGAGCTGTGTCAGTACTGATAGGCCTTCCCCCGGCCGCTTCCCCACCACAAGGACACCGATGGGGGTTTGGCAGCCCTGCTGCCCGTCTTTACGCCACCTACCAGCTGGACACCAGCTCAGACCATGGGCACGGATGTCTGGTCAGTGGGGGGTATCTTGACATTAGTATGAAGGTCCATTTTGTCAAATACTGCTTCCGGCTTCCATGGGCAAGTCCAGACCTTCTCTCTGAGGGGGACTGGCTAAAGTCTCAGAGCAGGAGGCTCATCCAAGGTCTTTGTTACCTTGGTGGCACTGGATTTCAGGGTGGAGAATGTCTAGAGAGCTTCAATGAGATAGTATTAGATAATCACCCTCAACTCTTTCACTGACCACTCCCAAAATAACGCGTTATGATGGAACTAAACTGCCTTAATGGCTTTGCTAGTGTTGTGTCTGACGTGATGATAATGTCCTTTAATTTTGCAGAAACCTTGGAAAATCTGGACTGAGAGTCTCCTGCCTTGGGCTAGGTGAGTGTGTATGTGTGAACAGGATTGGTCTGCAAGAGGGGAGCTCTAAGTGTACGGCGTGAAAAGGAAGCCCAGCAAAGGGAATCTTCTAGGTTCTTCTTAGTTTATCAGACTGGGCTGCAAATGCCGTCACAGGTAGGCGATGGACATGTTAAGAACCGAGTCATTTTCCCACAGAAATAGCATCATTATCTGGAACACCCAGTATTTTCTATAGTTTTGTACAAATAGAATGAGACTGAAAGAAGTCAATTGGAACTGGAGACAGTGGATAACAACAATGCAATTTTCTGCATTTTGTCAAAAGTAGGGAAAGGGAAAATTGTGATGAGACCCATGTGAAATCTCAAGATAAGATTTATGGCTTGACACATCCTTTTTGTTATTTTTTACCTTTGTTTTGTAATTGACTCATATTTTTTAATCTCTAAGAAGTACATAAAGCAAATTATGCTTTCTGCTGGGCGGGCAGTTTGATCCGTGGATCCTTCGAGTCAAAAACATCACTGTCTGACTTAATGCTTTCTCCGTGTGGCCTCTCTACAGGAACATGGGTCACCTTTGGAGGCCAGGTCACGGATGAGGTGAGAAAGGACTCCTTTTTCTGTATGTTGTACTTTGGCTGCTGTCATGCCGTATTAGTAAAACGTGGGATCAGGTAATGCTGCTTGGTATTTAAATAAAGTCTGTGCTCTTTGCAAAGAGCTGGCAGGCAGCGTTTCACTGAACCAAAATAAATTAAAACCTTTAAATCCTTTGAATAATAAATAAAATATTAACACGGTCAAACTTGCTGAAAAAACCATCCAAGTACAAAACATGCTGAGCAGTGAAAAGCAAAAGTTCATATTAATTAAGTTCATGGTAAATATGAGGAGAAATATCCCTCAGGGGTCAAAGATCACTCAAGGCCGCCTTTTTGTGGGTTTGTAAGCTCTCTGGTAATAAATACGGGCATCATCTCGGAGGATTATCAGCCCCCCCAGGAGTTCCCCAAGTGACCGCTGTTTGTCTCCCTTATCCTGCCTCCTTAAGATGGCGGAGCAGCTGATGACCTTGGCGTACGAGAATGGGATCAACCTGTTTGACACGGCGGAGGTTTACGCCGCAGGAAAGTGAGTGGCCGTTAACCTCCGTCCCTTTTCACCATGAGTGCGGCAACCGCTGCCGGGCTCAGCTGCGCGTCAGGACTAATGAAGACGAACATCATCACTTCTGTTAGGTTGCAGGTGCTGAAGGCCCTTGGGTCTAAAGTTACTTTTAATGGGGTTGAGCCACTGAACAGCCTTGTAATGGAGATGAATCGTGGCCCTCGGTTTAATCTCTCCTGATGGTGACCCCTGTCCGATCACTTTATCTCAGAGGTCATGAAATCGTGAAAAAATATCTCAGCCAAATTAAATCCTTCATTCTTCAGTTGATAAATTGCATATGATTTCAATGGATTAAAACATTCATTTTAAGGAAAAACTCCAATGCGTGAATTAATTTTCAGCCTAACTAAATCTGAAAACAATAGAGACATTTATATCTGTGTTTGTGTATGGAATTGCATCACTCAATTGTAATGTTCTATCACCATGGTAGTATGCTTACGGAAACAAGTCAGTCATCCTCATCCAAGACAATGTCCGCAGTATTCACAGTATTCACCATATTCACCATATTCACAGTATTCACAGTATTCACTGTATTCACAGTATTCACCATATTCACAGTATTCACCATATTCACAGTATTCACCGTATTCACCATATTCACAGTATTCACCATATTCACAGTATTCACAGTATTCACAGTATTCACAGCCATCTTTGGCATGACAGCTTTGTTGTTACTGTCAAAGTGGATAGACCTCACAGAGAGCTGTGCTATGAACAGCGTTGTGTGATAATATCTGGAAGTGGGAGATTCCAGTCTCTGCTCAGCATTTACATTCGACATACTGAACAGATCATCCTGTTTTTGTGCGAAGTGCTTGAGTTCCCATGTGGAATTAACTATTTTTATGTCTGCATTGAGTATGAAATGTTTACTCTCATGTATACTCTCATGTATACCCACATGTTTACTCTCATGTATTCTCTCATGTATACTCACATGTTTAATCTCATGTATACTCACATGTATACTCTCATGTATACTCACATGTTTACTCTCATGTATACTCTCATGTATACTCACATGTATACTCTCATGTATACTCGCATGTATACTCGCATGTATACCATAATCTTGCTCTGACTGTTAGTCACAATGACCTATTTCAAACATCCCCAGGGGGGATCAAGTGGTACAGTTCTTTCGGAAGCCACAGTAGCACCGCGGTTTTTCGCAACATGACACTTTCGCAAGTTGCAGAGACCCACAGGTCACCCCACCACTGAGCTGTGAGCATGGAGAGAGCTGTGTGTTTCATAAAGAAGGCGGGGCTTCTGCAGCAGGGTCGTTTGTCTGTTATTAGAGTACTACACTCCCTTGCTTGCTCACTATTCATGACTTATTTACTTTTTCCTGGGCTATGACCTCCAGCAAGTTACTTCAATGCTACTGTACAGCAGAAATACAAATTAAAACTTATTCTAACAGTAATAATAATATTCATGCAAGAAAAACCTGAGATCTCACGCCTGAGAAGATGCACTGATTTCTGATGACTCTCATCTCTTATCCAGGGCAGAAGTGGTCCTTGGAACCATAATCAAGAAGAAGGGATGGAGGTATGGTCCACTGAACGTTTTGGTTTTAATCTGCATCGCTTTCCTTAAATGTCATCTAGAGAGAAGAAGTTGTTCACACTCACGAAATGAGTGCCCACGTTAAAGGCCTTGGCTCACTGTGGGCCCTGTGAGATTGTGGTTAGGGAACCTGGATTATCACCAGATGGTTGCAGGTTTGAGTCCCTATTACTGTACTAATAGGCCTCAGTGAGTATATCTGTTATTGCAATACTCTGAAAGGATCAAAAGAGTAGTGTAAGTGGGCTTTACCAATCTGGGGGCTCAGCCCTTTTATTGGTGTCTGTCCAGCAGAGTCGCACGCTTTCACTGTTCACCATTAAGGGTGGTTGTGATGAAAAAAAGCAGCCATGGAAACAAAAATGAGGAGTGCATGGTGTGAATGAGTTTGCTGGGATATGTGATGCAGTAACAGATGTCCCCCTTACATGCTTAGGCGTCTGATTTTCCTTTTTAATTCCCCTATTTTTATTGCGCGCTCCTGTGTTCCACAGGCGCTCCAGTCTGGTCATCACCACCAAGATATTCTGGGGTGGAAAGTACGTCAGCAGAACCTGATGAGAACAACACGGCGGGGAGGGGGCTACAGACCACACCTAGACTTCTGTCCTTCCCCAATACTAACCCACACAAAGCGGGGCCTCGATTAATTGACTCAAAACTCGATGGTTGTTGGGTGAGGGGTGGGGGGGCATTGGTGCTGTGGGCTGACAGAGAGCAAGCGAGGCTTCCTATCTGGTTGTTCGCAGCCCCCCCAGGGGGCACAGTTGAATCATCCCCTTGTGAGGTGGGGGGGGGGCACTTTAATAGCTTCCTGTGTGGGGGGTGGGGGGGAGGGATCTCCTGGGCAGTTTGCTCTTTCACTGAGAGCCAATTAAAGGTTCCCCTGCAATGCAGGATGAAAACCCCGAAGAGCCTTTGATGTTTCTGAGTGCTGCATTTACCTGCTAATTGGGCGACTCCAGTGGAGACTCGGTGTGCCGTGTCCCGCTCAGCAGAGGCAGTAGGGAGGTCGCCTCTCTCCTCGGCTCTAGACGCCATGCCTGCCTAATGCGATCAAATGCTGAGCCCTTATTATGCATGTTCTGCAAACTGGCCCCCGCGATTGTAGGCAGTCCGTGTTGAATTGTTCTCGGCTATTTGCTAATTGACTCATCGCATTGCAAATAATTGACTTTATCTGCACTGAAGACAGACAGACTGAGTGGTGTAATATTGTTCTGTGTTGTTTTTTAGGGCGGAAACTGAAAGAGGGTTATCCAGAAAGCATATAATAGAGGGTAAGTGAGTCCCATAGCTTTCAGCCTTGTTAGGGATTGTTATGATGCCGGCATCATATCCCGCTGCTTTGTAACTTACGGTGTAATGATTCTCTGGGTATTCAGCATTTGTTTCACTGTAACTTCTGTGCCCTTCCCGCTGTGTAGGGCTGAAGGCTTCCCTAGAGCGGCTGCAGTTAGATTACGTGGACGTGGTGTTTGCCAACCGGCCTGACCCCAACACGCCTATGGAAGGTGAGCTCCCAAGGTCCCCAGCCCCCGAGATGTTAGGGCGGGGGGGACGCGTAGACCCCGCAGATGCAAGACCTCTGCCGCACAACTTTGTTCACTTGCAGGGGCCCCATGCTCTTGATGAGGGACCCCAGCAAACGTTGGGTTTACGTTGCCTGGCAGATACTGTATGTCTGTATGGAGTGATGGAGTGACTTACAAAGAGTGTAGTTTCAGGGGGGGGGGGGCTCCGGGGCAGCACAGAGGCAGCAGGGGTTTACGTGAACAAAAACCGTTAAATGAAAAGACATATAGCATGAAAAAAGGCCACTTTAAAAAACTCCCCAAAGCGGAAAGGGACACATCTAAATAAATCCATGAATCTCGTCCCTCAGTCCCCCCGGCCGACCCTGTAAACAACCTAACAGCAGCCAGTTAAACTTCCCTGGGGGTGTCCTGCTCTACCTTTTAGCTGGGTGCCTGATCTGAATGGCTCCGCTGAAGTATCTAGTGAGGCTTATAAGCGGCAGATGGAAGCGCGTGTTTAGGGATTGAGCTTGAGGCTGAGACGGCAGCTTCCTTCGGCTCGGAAGCCCGTTCATTTCCACTAGACTGGAGTATCTGCCAGACAATTCAGCGAATGTTTGCTCAAAATGTTGCAGATATGGACAAATGCAGACGGAGGTGTTTCTTATTTTAGTTTATTTGTTCCCTCTTTCATCGGTGCTCTTTTGCAAAGCATCTAACCACCTTTCCAGCCTTATAAAGGAGTGAGATTGTCGCTCGCTTGGGCTAATGATGCGTGCTGAATGACAGCAGTACTGTAGATGTGACGGTGTGCGGTTCAGAGAGACACAGACCCCTGAACATGAAGCTAAGAGCACAGGGGTGGCACCTTTGCTGTGCCTTTCGTCTCGCAGCACAGCTGAGCAGAGAACATTGTGTTTTAATGGGTACGGAGCAGCATGCAACCAGTAGGCTTCTTCTCCCAGTATGGATTTCCCAGTCTAACAGGGACTGGGGCCGCCGGTGACATCATTCCATTAATACATGCTCCTTTTTCCACAATCTTTTTTTTTCCCATGTCACCAGGAGATCCATTTAACAGTTCAAAGTCAAGACCATTCATCATAGAAGGTACATGGAGCACTTAGTGCGAGTACTGACAGCCTGTACTGAGGCATCTGATGGAAGTGGCCGGTTTCTCTCCAGCCCTTTTCCTGACATGGAAAACATGAAATCCATAAAATGCTGTATTTCCTCGTAGAACGTAGTGGTGTACATACAGTACTGTATTTTATGGATATGTGAAATCCTAACCTTCACATGCATCTTGCAAGTAAAATCTGGAGGCCAAAACTTCACTCAGATTTGTGTTTTTATTTTTTTTTCCCCTTGAGTCCCTGCACTGCGTGTCCCTGACTCAGCTCAATCGAGAGTAGCTTAAGATGATGTGCTTTCCCGGCGACTCCTCTCCCATCTCCATGACGACGCTCAGGTCTGCTGGGGGACTCGCATTCAATGCTTTCTGTCAGGGCACAGAAATGCTGGGTAACTAGCATGGCAACACCCTGCAGAAGCAGTCACTCCTCTACCAGCTGCGTGGTGGACATTACCCTGAATTCACCATGTGTCTCGGTTATGGAGCCTTACTGACAGGAACAGCTTGAACTCGTGCTCCCATTTCCTGTCTCCCATCAGTTTTCTTTGTGTTTTCTGGATTATCATTATTTTTATTGTATGTATTCTTAAGATAAGATAAAATTTATTCATCCTGAGGGAAATTATTGTGCCAAGGCGTAGCTCTCACCATGCAAGATTAAACAAAAGAGCTTAAAAATACTAAAAATAAAGATTACAATATAAAACAAGGAATCAAAGTATAACACAAATAGAACACAATACAAGTAAAATATAAGAATAAGACCAAAAAGGATAAAAAGATGAGATATGTAACTAAAGTGGGAGTGTGCATGTGGAAAGGGTGCATATAGGGCACTGTGTAAATGTGCAAAAGAATGAAGCAGACTGTTCATAAGTTTTATTAAAAGCAGAGTCCAAAAGTGTCAAGAAAGCTGTGAGAGTCTCCCAGTAGTGCTCCCAATACTCGATGGTGTGGAGGTCTGCTTCCCACTGGAGTGAGAGGAGTTATGCAGTTTAATGAAGGATGTCCTGTGGCTCTCAGTGGAACATCTAGGTGATGTGAGTCGCCTTGGTGATGTGAGTCTCCTTGATGGTATTGGTCTTTTGTTAAATCCTTTAGGGATACCGATATAAGAATGGGATTTCTGGAGGGGCGTGTCAGACTAGAAGAGTCGTTAGCGCAGTTGTACCTCCCACCCCCACCCCCCCACAGCACCTTGAGGGTGCCCAGTGAGAGCGCTACGCTAAGCCAGGACAGCCCAAACAGAAGCTGACATCACAGGAGTGGGAGAAAGCAGTAGTGCAATTCATTCATTTGAAAATGAATTTGGAAACACCAGACAGACAGGCAGCCACACACACACACACACACACACACACACACACACAAGCTTCCATTTCATGCCATTTCAGGCCATCAGCTGAGTAAAGGGCTTTTCCCATGTGCTGTTGATTCTCCCTCCGGACTGGCGAGGAGCTGGCCTTGCTTTTGCGTGCCGCATGGTGTATTTACGTACTCATCATTATCGCTGCTGCAAGATGACGGCTGAAGAGACAGCGCCCCCTTCCTGTTGCTCTGAACATGCCTTGATACCGCGCTGTGCAGTTTTTTTCCTCTCCTCCACGTCCCTTTTTACTCTACTGATCATCAGACTCTTTTTGGTTGCTGTTTGTTTGCTGCTGTTTGTTTTTCACCTCGCATGTGTGGTTTTTGCCATAATGCAAAGTATTCACAAATTTTTGCAAAGGACAGCATTTAAAGTGTGTTAAAAGACAGACTGTGGTCTGCACTGAGGTAGAAAGCACCTCGATGAACGTTACACCATAGACCCAAATTTTTTTCTTCTTCTCCTTTTTATTGAGATGCATCTCTTGCACAGTTTGTTTATAGCTTGAACACCATCTTGGTAAATGAAAAGATTTGTGAATAGACAGCGTTCTGGGTTTGGTGTTTTGGTGCAATGTGTTTGGGGGCATGTGCGTCAGTGTGCTTCCACCTGTTATATAAAGCGTATGTGTTGTTCTGTTTGAAACACGAAAGACTTCACCACAGTCCCGGCTGCGTTTCTCGAGGGGGGTGCTAAACCTCCCACCCCCCACCCCCATAATGCAGATGTCCCTGCAGTTTCTTATCTATTACTAATTTAGGTATGTAGGTTCCCTCACAATCAAGTATGTGAAGCTTCTTAGGGTTACCAGAGCTCCGCCAGAAGGAGACCATCTCCACCCATTACCACCCTGACGTTTCTGATCAGTAGAGTAAATGTCAGAGTACTGTAGCGCCGTCCTGTGCTGTGTTAGACTGTAGAGATGTGTATGCGGGTGGTATTGTTCTGTCACCTAGTCCCTTCTGCTGAATTGTAGTCAGTGACACTCTTCTGTATTCTGTTTTTTATTTTGAATCAGTGTCTTCTCTTTCATAATGCTGCTCGATTCTCTAAATGACTCCAATGGCCCAACTAACAAATCTGGTTTCACCACTTTGTTTTTTTCCTGTCTCTCTTTTGCTCTTTTCTGCGTCTTGCCTTACATCTTATTTTCATCAGTCTCACACGTATCCCCACCCCCTTCTGGTGTACTCTCTGTGCCCTAACCCTCCCGCGGCCTGCGGCTTTCTGTGTCCCCGCCCACCACGGTGACCGCTGCGTTTGATTGGCAGAGACGGTGCGAGCGATGACCCATGTGATCAACCAGGGGATGGCCATGTACTGGGGCACTTCTCGGTGGAGCTCCATGGAGATTATGGTGAGTCTGGCCCCGGCATGCATGGGGGCACAATAGGCCTCATATCTGTGACATCTGGAAGTTGTTGACATTTTCAGGTCGTAAGACCCACAAGTGAACTTATTTAATACATGTACAGCCTTTCAGACCCAAAATAACAAAAAGCAATACTGTAGGTTTTGGTGTATTATTTAGATTCTAATTAAAGGTTCATTTTTATAGACATAATAAGGATAAATAATTTAATATCATTGTACCTCTGTGTTCACCTGCAATCCTGCTTATGTCCTGTAGGAGGCATACTCTGTAGCAAGGCAGTTCAACCTGATCCCACCAATCTGCGAGCAGGCCGAGTATCACATGTTCCAGCGGGAGAAGGTGGAGGTGCAATTGCCAGAGCTGTTCCACAAAATAGGTGAGGTGACGTGTGCCCCCCGCTGCCCCCCCATGTCCGTGAAGTGGATCGTGCCGGCAGCTTCCTCACCGGGGGGAAGCTCCCGTGAGCCTGACGCTCTGCCCTTTTTCCGAAGGTGTGGGCGCAATGACATGGTCGCCGTTGGCCTGTGGGATCATCTCAGGGAAGTACGACAGCGGGGTGCCGCCGTGCTCGCGCGCCGCTCTCAAGGTAGCCTCCGCCGCTGTCCGACCTCTGACCTCTCAGCCCTCCTGTCGGTCACCTGTCTGTCTCTTGTCCCCGTTGACGTTGAGGACAGCTTCTTTATACCTTCGGGAAGCTGTGTCACTGTTTCGCTGCTCCAACGCCCCGCACCGCCTCGCTGTTGTCAGCACGGGACACGGCTGAGCAGGCGCCTGTTTGAGTCTGGCACGCAGAAATTGAAGGAGAAACTTTGCTCCTTGTTGCTCAGCATAGGACCATGAAAGTCACTTTTCACCGAATGAACAATGATTATGCGTATTAGACTACTACGGTAATTTTATTAAATGTTTTCAATCAAACAGATACTTGTAGCAAGACCTAAATAATTTGATACACATTTGGAACAATGAAATATTTCAATAATAATTTAATTTTGAATTCCCTATTTCGTTTAAATTCCTATTAAGATTTAAATTCCTTTTTATGATTACCTGTTCACTTGAGCTGCTGCCGCACAAAATCTTTTTCAAAGAAGACAATTCCCTCAAGACACAATTCCTAAAATCCTTACTAAACCTTACAAAACATGAGATAAACGGAAGGCTGGGTTGCCGGTGCTTACAAATGATATCCTGTCATCACGGCTGGCATTTCCAGGTCTGCAGATCACATGACTAATGTACTACCAGCATATATCAGAGAATATAAATATTACATCAATATTAAAAGTATCATTTCCTTACTGTAAGTTAAAAAAAGGTTTCGCTGTGTTTGTGTTTATCTGTGTTCCCTGCCATCGCTTCTACATTTCTGTGATAGCTCTCTTGTGTTTATCTGTTCTCCAGCCATAGGTCTAACCTTGAAATGTTACAGAAGACAAATGAAATGAGTTTAATCGTTGATTTCCCAGACATTGTTTGAATGGGAAAATAATAATGAAATAGTAAATCATGGAACAATTTCTCCCAAAAGCATGAACCAAATTGCGGAAGATTTCCAAAATTTCTGGGAATATCCACTCAAGTTTTTTTTTTTTGCCAGATGCTAGATGGGCCGCAGTCATTCCCGGAGGGGGGTCTGTGTGGCCATGTAGCTGTGGCAGGTGTTTGAGAAGTTTGAGGGTACCTGAGTATTTCCTGTATTGACAGGGTTACCGATGCATGTGTGTGTGGGTGGGTGTGTGTCTGTGTCATGTGTATGAGCAGTGAGTGTTTGCATAGCAGGTTTTTGTGCAGATACGCTGTATATCAGCATGTATGTCTGGGTGGGTGTGTGCTGGGTGTTTGTACCGAGTGTTTGAGCAGTGACTGTTTAAATAGCGGGTTTTGCGTGGTTATGCTGCCTATCAGCATTGTGTGTGGGTGGGTGTGTGCTGTGTGTTTGTGGCTGGTCAGTGAGCAGTGGGTGTTTGAATAGCAGGTGTTTGTGCAGATACACTATATATAAGCATTGTGTGTGGGTGGGTGTGTGCTGTGCGTCTGTGGCTGGTCAATGAGCAGTGGGTGTTTGAATAGCAGGTGTTTGCGCAGTTACGCTATTGACATTGCATGTAAATGTGTGTGTGCTGTGTTTTTGTGTGAGGTGCCAGAGCTGCAAGTGTTTAAATAGTTTTTAATGCAGGTACACTCTCAGCATTGTGTGTGGGTGGGTGGGTTGTGTTTAAATAGCAGGTATTTGAGCAATTTCGCTTTGTATTTGGGCACGTGTGTTTGAGTGGGTATATTCTGTGTGCCTGCAGTGGGTGTTTGAGCAGCAGGTATTTGCACAGGTAGATTGTGTCTTAATTGTTTGGGTGGTTGTTTGCAATATGAATTTAGTGGGTGTTTGAGCATAGGTACACCATGACAGGGTTACCAGTCTGTGGGGGAGGGGGTGTGTTCTGTGTGCCAGCAGCGGGTGTTTGAGTAGCAGGTGTTTGAACAGCAAGTGTTTGAGTGGCAGGTGTTTCAGCAGGTACACTGCACTGTATATTGACAGGGCTAACAGTGTTTGGGGCTGGCAGGTGTTTTGTGTGCCTGTGGAGGGTGTTTGAGTGGCAGGTGTTTGAGCAGCATGTAATTGAGCGGATACACTGTATATTGACTGGGCTAACAATCTGTGGGTGGGTGTGGGGGTGTCCGGTGTGCCTGCAGTGGGTGTTTGAGCGGCAGGTGTTTGAGCAATAGGTGTTTTAGCGGGTACACCATATATTGACAGGGCTACCAGTGGCTGAAAGACAAGATCCTGAGCGAGGAGGGCCGGCGTCAGCAGGCGAAGCTGAAAGAGCTGCAGGCGATCGCGGAGCGGCTGGGCTGCACGCTGCCTCAGCTCGCCATCGGTACACGCCGTCCTGCTGCTCTCTCTTTTTCTGTCTGTCTGTCCGTCCATCTATCCGTCCATCTGTCATCAGCCACGTGCGTCAGTGAAGTCCTGTCAGAGATCTCCTGCGTGTAATCGAAGGCCTTGGTTCTCCGTGGAAATAAAAAACATACGCAGAGTATTTAAAAGGACTCAAATGGCCAGTACACTTTGTTTTACTTAAGCAGTCCAAATTAGCTGCCTCACTCCAGCATTCAAGGGCACAGCAGAATCCTTTCCAGGATTTGGGCCAGCAACCTTGAGGTCATGACTCCAGAACCACTATAATCACCTTGCGGTTACACAGATGGTGTCTCATCCCAGAGCAGATATCCCTGTTTTTGTTAAGTCAGGATCTATCCATCCTTCCATTTTCTGTAACCACTTGTCCTATCCAGGGTCATGGGGGATCAGAGCCTATGTTTAGTCAGGATGTCTTTGTCAGATCAGATCATTTTTTATGTCACACCACTTAACATCCGGGTTAAGTGCAGGTTACCATGCCCATACCTACCATTGAAGACACTGAGTCCTCAGCTTGTTTTCTGCGACTCCAGTAATGATAGTCATAGATACTATTGATCCCCGTAGGGAAGTTCTCTTTTTGCCTCCCCCATCTTGCTCTCTGTAGGTGGCTGGCTGTGAAGGACAGCCACCTGTTGGAGCACCCAGGGAGCTAGGGATTAAGGGCCTTGCTCGATGCTGGGCTCGAACCAGTGGCCTTCCAATCACGGGCACACAGGCTCCGCCCACAGAGCCACACGCTGCCCCCATCGACTGTGACCATTATAAAAGTGGTAGCCCTGGGAAGATCTACCACTTCTGACCTCCTTGTTTTAAATATCCTGACTAAACAGCCTTGCAGGTTACTGAAAAACTGGCATGCAGTCCCACAACACCAAAATATTGGTAGAATATGCACATATTGGTAACATTTTCAAACATAATAATAATAAATATAGTGTGCTAAAACAAAATAAATACAATAAATTAACATATATAAATACAGTGAACATAATAATCTGTCTCTCATCCAAGTAATCACATACTTTTTAGGCATCGAAAATTTGGTCAGACAGTGGCTTGGAGGTGGAGTAATGAGTTGGGGCGAGAGGTTTTAAGGTTGCTGGTTTCAATCCTTAGAGGGACTCAAATGTTGTACTCTTAAGTAAGGCACTTAATCTGAAAAGCTTCAGTAATTATCCAAATGTGTACATGAGGAAAACGTAAGCATTGCCAATTGTTGTCTCAGAAGGCATCTGTTAATAAGCTGAGCATGAATATTTATTAGCATAACTGAGTCAAATATGCATATTTCCCACAGAGATATTAAAGTCTCAGTCAGAGAGGCGGCAGATGTGGATAATTTTTTTGGATGGTCCTTCTAAAGCTATGGCCAAAGAAAGCCTTACATAATAACTCAGTATGGCTGTTAAGTGATGAATAAAAGATGATGGTGTTGCGTTCCACCATGAGTGGCTTTATTAGGGTTTGGAAGCAATCTGAATATCAGCTCGGATCAGAACCTGGATGGTTCTGCTGTACATGGTGCTGGTTGAGATCTCCCACCCCCCTACTTCGCTTGTGCGTCACGAAACCTCACATCACCGGCACAAGCGATGTTTAGAACAAAAAAAGTTAAGAACAGCAACATCAACTAGACAGGCCCAAAATACTCCCTTTCACTAAATCCTGCTTACACTTCTGTATTTCTGTTTTTGGCTTTTGTTGCATAATCTGTTTTTAAAATAGAAACAAAGAACTTTAAATCTGTGTCGTAACGAGTGTGGAGCGCTGACCTGTAAAAGGAAAATACCCGAGCATGCTCTCAGTGGAAACTGTAGACCTGATAGCGTGTTGAGCTGGGTTATCTGCGGGGAGGGGACAGGAGTCGCGGGGGTCCCTGTTCCAGCAGAAGGCTCTCGGGCAAGGTGGGGATGGGATATCGCCGAGTCACCGGGGGGGAGGGGGGCCCAGTGACTGCTGAAAAGCCATCGCATCTGCAGCTCTGTGACAGGCCGCTCCATTGAGGGAGTTCTTTTGGAGGGCTTGTGAGGTACGTGACTGTCTTCTTGGTGGTCTTCTGCAGCGTGGTGCCTCAGAAATGAAAGCGTGAGCTCAGTGCTGTTGGGAAGCTCCAACACAGACCAGCTGATGGAGAATATAGGAGCAATACAGGTAAGGGACTGTGCAGCGTTTATGCGTGCATGTACACGTGTGGGTATGTGTGAGGGTGCACACGAAATAGTGACTGCAGAGTGCTGTCCTCACTATTTCCCCTGAAATAACATGTTAATTATAGCCTTTCTGACAGCGGGGTGTGTTTGTCTCTGTAAGCAAAAACAGGGAGAGTATCATAATGAAACCCAGAGAACTGTGTGTGTGTGTGCGTACAGTATGTGTGTGTGTGTGTGTGTGTGTGTGTGTGTGCCTGCGCGCAAAAACAAAACACACCCCCCATTCTTCCTGGTTTATGTTTCACAGCCAATCACCTGGCTGTGTTAATCATAAATAAATATATCTGCTTACCGTGACTGCACTGATCCCAGTTCAGCCTTGCGGTTCTTCCAGAAGAGTGATCTTCTATAACAGAATTGTTTCTCATGAATAAATCAGAATTGTTCTCATTGGTTGCCAGTAAAATGCTAGCAGTTAATTATGTACGCTGAGATGGACGGCACAGTGATGCCGGGATGCTGCTTGTTTCCTTTCTTTGTTGCTCTCGCTGATAACAATGGCTTTAAATTTTAAATAAATTTTTAAAACTGGCATTAAAAATGTTCTACATTGTGCATGGTAATTCTGAGGGTGGAAATCTCTCCCCACAACAGTCATATTGTTCACTGGGTTGGTCCATTGTGTATACACACACACACACACACACACACACACATACACACATATATACATACATACATACCTGTATATATATGCTTATATATGTTTTTTACAAAGTCATTCCCACATTCTAAAGCTGTTTCATGGGCTAGAAGTTTGCCACGTCTGGACCGAAACCTGAATTTCCCCACTTAAATCAGTTAATAAAATTAAGTCATTTTGGGTGAATATTAGCAAAGCCATATAAATGTGATACCCAAGGTATACAAACATTAACTAGCGTTTGAATCAGCAATTACAAAACTGTCTGAAGGGGTGCAAATTTTGTTTATACTGTATGTTTTGTTTGAATTTATATATTTCTCTTTATTCCCCCACAGGTGTTCATATTGGTGCAGGTTCTATTTCTATGTTTTTGATTAATCTCTGGATTTCCTTGTTAATGTTTTTTACACAGGTTCTTCCAAAGCTGTCGTCCTCTATCACTCACGAGGTGGATAGTATCCTAGGCAACAAACCCTACAGTAAAAAGGACTACCGGTCCTAACGACGGCGCCGACTGCTGGATGGCTTTGCTCAAATTCTGCCTGTTCTTCTGTTTGTCTCAGCTTCGTCTGATGGAGCTTCACATGGGACCAGCGTAGCCCTGGTCCTGGAGGGTGACATCATTTAGATCAGTATTTCCCCATCCGGTCCTTGGGGACCCACAGATTGTCCACGTTTTTGCTCCCTCTCACCAGGAGCTGGGAGGGAGCAAAATCATGGACCGATCCCCAAGGACCGGATTGGGAAACATTGATTTAGATTAACACAACTTTCAAATACATGAAACAATTTTAATCGGTTAGACGGATGTAGAATGAAATTGACTTGTAGATAACTCTGTAATGCATTTAATTTAGCAAAAAAGGATATTTTTAAAACATAGGAAAAAACTATCAACTTAAGCAGATGTTTGCTTGGCAGTCATTTGCTGTCTTTTTCCATTGATCTTTTAATCACGTGATATGCTATAAGAAATTTAGGTCAAGTTATAGGGAATTAGGTCAAGATAAATTACAATATCAAAAAAAACCTTTGATCTTGATCCATGAAAGCCATCATTATTTATTTTCTATTATTTTATGTAAAAAAAAATGACATCAGTTCCTTGTAAGTATGTTTACTTGCTTGCTGTTGAACCCATACATATTCATGTATGTATGCAGTACTTTTGAAGGCTGTTGTCCAACCTTTGTCCAGTTCTGAAGTCACATGATCAAAACGTACACCGACTATCAATCAGCTGTTTTGCACACACGTTCCCTGTTTCTTACAGACCGTCACCTGAGTAACTGTCAGCGACGTTAGCCCAGCACACGCAGCGGTGTCGCTAAATGATAAATGAGGTTTCTGTCAGGGTCCTGTCTCAGGATGAATCTGGCTATTTAAACGCAGCTGTTTTTTGTCACTATAAGCACGTACCTTTACAATGTTTTACACTGACAGAATGTCACAGGCACATTCCGGCCTCCAGTCCTTATTGGAGATGTTTATTGTAACCGGAGCTGTCATCAGACGGACAGGGATGTGACACGCGGGCCATTCAGGGCTTTGTCCCGGAAAGGTCTCCCTGCTCCAGTCTCCTTCTGCGCCAGCTCAGCAGTGAACCACTCTCACCAGTAGCAGGGTGGCCTCACATTGCAGAACCACGCAGTGCATATAGCCAGGTACGTCTCTTCCAGACAGCACACGGCTGAAGTGGGGGCTCGTAGATATCCTCCCTCACCCCCTTTTTATATACGTCCCCATTACACACCTTTTCCGTGCTGCATGCTTGGCATATTTGTCATATTCCCAACAAAATATTCCAGCGCAGTGATGGTCCTGTGTAATCTACATGACATTTGCTGCATCTCTCCATCTCCCTGTTTTCCTGGGGGTCCTCCAGTAAAGTTTTCTCATTTTAATATTTAATCTAGCAGGAATAGATGTTCTCTGGTTGTGGAGGGGGTGGTAGTGATGGTTGGGGGGGGGGGTGATTAATTCCCTTAAGCATCAGGCACTTATTTCTTTAATGCAATTTAATTTATAATTTATAATTGGTGCAATAGTTAAATTATCCACTTATTTTCCATTATTGAGTTACTTGCTTTAATTTCACGTGCTTTAAATAAAAATTACTCTTTAAATATTTTTGTTCAATGAATGTACAAGAGACACAGCTGTGACTAAGGAACAAAATTGTAGTACTGACTTAAATATTGTGATTTTCTAAAATATCCAGCGTGAGGGTTCGTCCTTCCCATTGAAATAGCACAGGGTAACATCGCTCCTGTTTTTTTACACTCCAGTTGCTGAGTAAGAGGAGCACTTTGTGTAAAATGCAAAGATGGACAATTTGCCAACAGATGGACCCAGTAATTAATAACAGTAGCATAGTTTGCCACTTAATAAGAGTTTCTCATCTTCCTAGCAGCTTGAATTTGGCTGGAGGTACAAAGAATGATCCAGCCAGACGAGAAATTTCAATGAATTAGGGGCTGAACTTTGTTCTGATTTCTTTGTGCATCTGATTATGTTTTTTTGTTTGAATGTTGCTCCCCCTACTGGAAAAAGCAGAAACTGTCTGCATCATTGCTGTTTTGGGCACACTTGCATGTGCACCAACATCAGAAATTAGCCACACTTTCAGTCCTGTTACCAGTAGCGGTGAAGGATGCGGCATTGTGCTGTAAAGAAAGCTCTGTGAGACTTCTACAGACCACAGACGCGTTAAAGTGGTCCCACCACTGATCTATGCATGACTATTTTCTCAGTATTAGCAGTTATTGCTTGCTGCTCTGTAAGGAAAAATGGTACAGTATCAAACTTTACATATACATGTAAACTGTATTTTATTATGTTTTGAAATATCTTTTTCAATGTTACATGACATGAAAATTGCACTTATATGTACTCATACTGTACCAACTACATAATGACATATGTACGCTTATAACCATTTCTAAGTGGGGTTCCAGCACAGGGCTGTTTACTTATGTGTCGAGCAGAAATGCTGGAAACTAAGCCTGACGTAAGCTGGACATGCAAATATCTCAGTAGAGAAGAGCTGTTAATGTCACGGTTTTACTATATCAAAGTGAGGAATTTGACCTTTGGATGTTCCAATGTTATTGCGAACCACGAAGTTGGCAAGATGCCAGCAATGCTGAGTTATGTTTAGTCTGTACACATGATATTATCTGTATCAAAGCCCTGATAGCTAACATCTGCGGTCAACAACTGACCCTGCAGTTGACTGACCCTCAACTCCAGTCAATACCTTTCTCTGCTTCTCAATTTCATGCGCTGTGATCAACAATATCTTGTGTTTTCAAGAGGTTTGCCGAAATGGCATGTAACCTGTGTGAATGTTTTTTTTTATTTTTAGTTATTTTATTTGATCATTGACATGATTTGAGACTTTATGTATTTACATACTTAATGCAAAAAAGGCATTTTGTATCCGGCCTTGTTGCTGTGAGGAAAATGAAAATATTGGAATACAACAAAAAAAAACACACAGCCTTTAAAAAGTTGCTATTTATGGCTGTATGACCCAGTGCTCAGGCTATTGATGATCACCTTCTCTGCTCGAAGAACCAAAGATTACTATAGAGCAACTGTGTTTTTTTTTTCACAAAAGAAAAAAATGTTCATTTTAAAGTGAAGAATACCAGGAATAGAACATCCTGGTGCAATATGTCAGCTTATATCATTGATTCTGTACCATCGATTTATAAAGTTTGTGTCATACGCATTTGTTTTCAACCGATGGCACAGAGAGGATTAAACACATCAAAGTTTCGTTTGACTTGTTCGGCTCCCGCTGCCCAGCCCTCCCCCGTCGTGCCCCTTGTCGTGTCTGCATGCAGCATGGTAGGTTTGTCTGGCCTCGGGGATTGAGGCGCTACAGTCCGCCCCACCGGCCATTCCTGCAAGTCGCATCATCGTCTGACACCTCTCCACAACATCTTAGCTAGGCGAGATCCTTCATCTCTTCCCCGCAGCTGCGTCGTTGCGTGTGTGGATCGCAACACACGGATCCAGGAACACACAGGCACCGGGAAAATGTAAATAAAAGCCATCTTCAGCTTTGTCAGGAGAATTTGCGGAATGGCAGACCCAGGAATTGTGGCTTCTCTTATGTTGTCCTGTAGCCATCAAGGTCAGTCGCCTCTGGAGTGTGGGACCACAGTGAGCAGAAGTCATATGATGTTAAAGGCTGCTGTATTAAACTGCTCTCTTATATACTAATGACAAGAAATAAGAAGTGGGAAGCAAGTTGGGTTTGAGCTTAGCGATACTGTCAAACATGTTACTCTAATTCTAATAGAAGTCAAAGCATTGTATTTAAAAATGTATCCTATTTTTTAACATGCACACATTTTCTGTCGGAAGTGACTCTGGTGAAAAACAGAAAATATTTCTAATGTTCAAGGAATTATATGTAATAACTGCTAGCAGACTGTACATTTTCAGCCCTAAATGACAATAACCTTCAGACACTTTCTTGTATATAGTGTGATATTTGTATATATGAGTGGCTGTCATTAGTCCACTGCTTGTTTTACTTTCATCAGAGAGCAGAGCTTAATATGTATTGTGCTTAAAACTGAATTCAGGACAGTATGCACAGCTACAGTATGTAAGAAATGAAAATAAAAACTTATGAAAGGTAACCATGGTCCCTCTGATATTTCACTTGGCTGTTACGTTTTATTTGTTTAGCGGAAGCGTTTATCCAAACTGGCATACGATTTTTTAAAAACACGTCAACGAGTCCCCTAATAACTTGGGGATTAACCCTTCTGTGATGTTTTTTAACAAAGGGAGACCGTTTGCTGAAACAGGATATACTGTATAGTCTGTACACTCAAATCCTCTTTCTGAGTATTATCTCCTTCCTTGCCGGTGAATGAAACACGGTGTCTATGAAATAAATAACTGACATTCGGAATCCCGCACGCCGAGGTCTGATATATACCCATGAATCATCGTGTCTGGTTTTCCCGCCGCTTCTCCCGCTAGTGGCAGCACGACGTGTCGTCAGACCAGATCTTTCATTTCAGAGCTACGGACGGCGTCTTATCAGGATCCGGAGCCCCTCCCAGAATACCTGGGAGGTACATTCCCTGTGACACGCCCGGGCCTTCCTCGAGAACCGCTCCCTGTGGAACGGGACCGACGCAGCTCTCCCGGGAGCCGTCCAGGCAGCATCCATTGGAGACGCTGATCCCAAACGAGCAGCCTCCTCTCGGGCTGAAGGAGCAGCGTCTCTATTTTATGGTCCCTCTGGGTACCGAGGTACTTATGCTCCTTCAGTTGCAGTCTCCCCCTCAGAAGCAATCCGCTCGTTTCGGAAAGGGTGCCATGGCCTTGCATCACAGCACCCCGCAAGCACCTGGACTCCTTTAGCGTGGGGAACCCTAAGGCTCCATCCCTATGAGGTCTGGTTCCACATTGTGTGAGAACTTTTCTCCCCTCTGGCTCCGCCCCCACCAGAGAGATAACATCCCACATTGCCAAGGCCAGTGCCCGTTGCCAAGGTTTAATCTGTCTGGGGGCTTCCTGCTCGCGGCTGCAATCCACCTGGCGCTGGGCGTGATCCCCACCTGCCATCCTGTGCATGGTGAGCCCACAAGGCATGTGTATCAATCAGCTGTAATTATATCTACGTACAGTCTTCACTGCCATTAAATGTTGAAATATATATTTTTAAAAGACTTAAGGCTTGAAGAATGACTAGTAATGCTTTATGTTAATGGCACCTTTGTAATGCATTCATAGTACATCCATAAGCAGCATGTAAGTACACCTTAACATCCTAACATACCTTAACATCCTAACATACCTTAACATCCTAACATCCCTTAACATCTTTAATATACATTAATAAGAAACATTATATGATACAAAAAAACATTATAATTGCATAATCATATAATGTTTGTTATTAATGTATATTGAAGCTGTTAAGATAGGTAAGTTAGGATGTTAAGGTATACTTCTTATGCTGCTTATGAAGGTTCTATGAATGCACCATGAAAGTGCAATGAATGTTCTATGAATGCATAATGAACACATCGTGAAGGGTCTGTTAATGTAAAGCATTACTGAATGTTTCAATGTGGTATTCGTGAAATATATTGTATTTGAGCTTTTGTGCATGACTGTTATGAATGCACAATATGAGTATGACTGTTAAAATAGATGCACAGCAAATTATTGACTGCATGCCTCAGATGTTAAGTTCCTGGCTGATATGCATGGACCCATGTGCAAAAAAAGTATTATTCAACAGTATCTATCCAATATTCTTTTATCACTCAGTAAAATAATCACAAACTTTGTGTTACCATTTATCATACTTGAAACTATATAAAAACAAAGTTACAAAAAATGAAAATGCAGGATAAAGAACATTCAAGAAAAACATTACAGCCACATAGAATGATATAATACTCTCAACCAAACAACGTATCACCTTGTTTTAAGACCACAAAAAGATGTTGAGCCCACTGAAGCAGATGGTGGAGTGCACCGGCCCAGCGTGTGGTCGTCTCTGCTGTAACTGCCCCCGGCAGCAGACCCAAACAAACATGGCGCTGAAGCAACATCGGTTTATCTTCCAGATACCGGCAGTGCTGAAGCCAGTGTAACCCAGCACTGGTCCAAGGTAGACTGGCAATCTGGGAATGGAGTGTGATGTTTTCAGTGGAAACTGTTTCTGAAGGCCCTGTCAACAGGGACTCAACACATGTGTGTGCGCACACACACACACACACACACACACACACGCACACGCACACACACACACTCCAGGCTTTGTACTGAGAACAGACATATGTATGTGTGGAAGCCGCCTGCGTACTCGAGGCATGTGGACAGTTCTCTTCAGCTCTCTATGTATAAGTTTTATAGCCTGAAGCTTATTGGTTCAAATCTCAATATTTGCTTTTGATAGGCTGTTCAATTAACCTATAGTGCTCCAAGTATCTGGCGGTACAAATAATGTAAGACCTGTCACTTGTATTTGCTGAGCTACAGCCCCAAACACAAAAGCAGTTGTAGGGACACCTACAGAGTTAACAGATGTCTTTGTACTGGACAGACAGGGTTCTTTGTCATTGGCTGCCCATATGACTCAAAACTTCATTGGTCGATTCTGTGTATGTATGTGTTTTATCTTCACTGCTCTTGTCACACTGAGCTGTACTTTGAATTCACACCAGATATGCACCGTGACACTGCATGAATGCACATGAGGGGGGCCCAGACACGTATATTTCCTTTAGCAAAATGTGCACCAGGACAACTGAATATGTGTAATTATTCCGAACAGAATAAAATAAAACAAACTGTCAAACTGTGGCTCAACCTGACAGCTTCCAAAGTTTACAAATCTGTGCAAATCATGGATGCAGTTCTACACTAATATAAAAAAATGCCTGCTATAAAAATATAAAACATTTCAGGCCACATATAATTACATATGCATACATGTATATATATATGAGTTGACATATAACTGATGTAAATGAAAACAACCATGAACAAACTAATTAAAATGTGATAATCATGATGTAAACATACTAGGTTATACCTACAATCAAGCATGATGAATGTCTCTTTCCTGTGTGGGACGGTAATGAGCTTCCTGTGATGAGCAACTGGAGCAAAACTACAGATGTACAAACATCTTCCTGCATCGGTGTCTGTGAGTTTTAAGTCTCGCATGTTTCCGATGCTGTTTTCAAGTGTTTCCTTTGACAGAGTTTGCTATTTTATTTTTTTACACTGATTAATAAATTACAAATGACCATTATATAAAAGTTGTATAAACGCTTCCTTAAATGACAGAAATATATGGAATGTACAGATGTGTGTTTTCTTTGTCCATCCTGTGTTTTATGATGTTCATTAATGGGGCACAGCAGAGTCACTGCTAATCCCATCTGTTCTGGGTCCCCAGCACCAGCAGGACCCACCCCAAGCTGGAAAGTGAGGCAGATGTGGTCCGTCATGTTAGACAACGAGGTCCAAATAAAGGAGAGGGGTTTGCAGATGAGGTGGCCTCTTTTAGAGTCCCGTCTCTCTTCCTCCACCTCTCCTCAGCTTAAGCAGTGCCTCACATTAAATCCCAGCTGCCTCTTTCCTAGCAGTGTTCCTCTGTTTCTTGCTCTGCAGTTCAGTGATGATGTTCCTAACTCCATCTGGTCAGCAGGGGGTGCTATACAGGTGGCTGTTGGTATGACTGGATCCCTCCTGTGCTGTTATGGGGCTGGGGGGGTGGCTGAAGAGGTCCACCTGGAAATAATAACAGACATGAGGAGAGACACGGCCAACCCCGGGAAAAGCAGGGGGTCTGAGAACCTCTTTTCATGTGAGAAACGCATAAAAAGCAGCTCGCGGGTCTGTGATTGGGGCAGAACTACAATTTGCTAAGCATGATCGCTTCTTGTCAGTTCACTTCAGGAACTGTATTACTGCATACAGGAGCTGCATTACTGCATACAGGAACTGTATTACTGCATAGAGGAACTGTATTACTGCATAGAGGAGCTGTATTACTGCATACAGGAACTGTATTACTGCATACAGGAACTGTATTACTGCATACAGGAGCTGTATTACTGCATACAGGAGCTGTATTACTGAGTACAGGAGCTGTATATTTAGAGAACGGCAGATGTGGACAGTGCCCATGTGCTAAGGCAGGAAGCACAAGCACATAGTCTACAGGCCGAGGTCTTATCTCTGAGACTTATGGGATCTCCGCACAGACCCATGTGACGCCATAAAAAGAGCAACACGAATGGACCCTAGACTGACGGAGCTTCCAGGCAAGGACGAGTTAAAAGTACCCAAGCAAGCAAACAGTGGGGCCAGGGAGCGGGGGGGAGCCCATTTCAGCAGGGGGTGGGGGGGCATTTCAGCAGGGGGGGGGGGGGCCTCTCAGCAGGGGGTGGGGGGGCACCATTGGTACTTGATCAAAGCCCACATGGAAACTGGGACCGACTGAGATAATAACCAGGAAGGCATTATATTACGTTTTTATCTACCCAGGCTAGAGAACGCAGTCTTTGGATTTGTAGTCAGACCTAAATAATATTTTGGCAGGATTTAAATACTAAACATAAATGACCCCCTTGCTTGTAGTGTTGAGGTAAAAAGTCTTTGAATTTCACAGTGGGTGGGAGTACGGTGCCCTGCCAGTCATTGCTTGGCTTAGCCAACTGGGAACCAATATACTATCCAAAGGAAAGTGGGTTAAACAATTCTGGAATTAAGAACGAATGATCACTCCTGCCAAATCCCATCCTCGCTTAGTAGGTACTTATCTTACATACTCTGCATAGTCACATGACTGCGGGGCCCTTAACTCTGAGCTCTGACCCCTAACTCCATCACAAAGGGGAGCAAGATGAGATACAGTATGTGAAAACGAAGGAATTCCTATGTATCTGTGCACATTGCAAACACAGAAGGGTCTGTTTTGTACTGTGACCTTACCTTCCGTGCAGGTGAGTCCTATCCAGCCATGCAGACAGGTGCAGCGGCCATTGCGGGGGTTGCACTCCGCCCCATTTGCACACTCGCAGGTCTGTGCACAGTCAGGCCCGTAGCGGTTCGCCATGCACTCTGAAATCAATGCAGAGTCTCCATGATGTGACACAGAACAATGGCCGATTCCTCGCGCTATATACGTCCACAGGAAAACGGCTTCATTACATAATAACCTGGTGCCCTTAGAAAATGTCTACTGTACCTTAAAAATTAATTAATCAATCCATTTAACACCAGTTCCAGAAAACCATCCATCAACTGCTGTGACATCGGCTCTTAGAAAACAATCCATCAATCCCCATGACACCAGACTCTAGAAAAACATCCATCGACTCTCATCGCACCGACTCTGGAAACTACCACCGATCCCCATTGCACCAGCTGTTGGAAAACCGTCAATCAATCCACGTAGCACCAACTCTGGAAATCCAATCATCAGTCCCTGAAAAGCTGGGCCGAATGGACAACAAAGATACCCCGTCAGCCTCTTATGTGAGCAGATATAGAATGGGCGCCTCATCAATCACCTCCTCTATTTTAAGCATCTAAACTTTGGCACTCCCAAGAAAACACAGCTACAGAGTTTGCCCTCAAACTGGGCAGCTTAGCCTGGCCACTAAAACCAAACGGGGGTCCCATCTGCTTGGCTCAGCAGCCCCAACTTACCCCTTCATCCTCCTAAATCTGCGGAGAGATCCATACGATACTGTGTCCCTCTGTCAGCTGCGTGTTCGCCTTTCGGTTGTAATGTGAACAGCATATCTGAAATACCCACACCGGCCCTGACCTGGAAAGCCGGCTGAGGGTGACGCTGAGGGCCATGCCGTCCTTACCCAGGTCACACCTGGCCCCCGTCCTGCCAGGGGGGCACAGGCAGCTGCCGTTTATGGGGTCACAGGGGGCAGACTCAGCGCAGTCGCACTTGTGGGTACAGTCCTCACCAAATCGGCCTTGCTGGCACACTGGGAGGGAGAGACATGGGGGGGGGGGGGAGACAGAAGGGGAAAGGAGTACGGATGGAACGCAGAGCTGAAATAAGCTGGGCTCTGTGATGGTAGCAGGGAAGCAGGTAGTTATGATGGGGGGGCTTCCACTGCCCAGCCTCAGGCCTTACCCCTGTCACACCGAGGACCTTGATACCCAGCAGGGCAGATGCACTTGCCAGTGCTTGGGTGACAGGGGGCGCCGTGTCGGCAGTCACAAACCCGCTGGCAGCGTGGGCCGTGGAATCCTGAGGGACATGCTGGTGGCACAAATGGGGGGGGGGGGGGGCGGGTTAGGGTACCCTTAGAACCAAATGGGGAAAAAAAAGCACTCAGCTTCATGGGCCGGTCCGGAAACGCCCTGGCAAGCATCTCACCGTGCTCGCAGAGGTTGCCGTAGTAACCCAGCGGGCACTGGCAGGCGCCGCTCGCTCTGTCGCACATCCCGCCGTTCTGGCACTCGCACAGCTGCCGGCAGTCGGCGCCGTATCGGCCTGGGGGGCATTCTGATGGGGGAGACAGCCAATCAGAAATCTGCTGCTACGCTTCACGCTGCTCATGGATGTCATCGTTCCCTGTGCGGCACGACCCAAGCACTCGAGAGTCAGAGTAAGGGATTCGGTTCCTTCAATTTCAATTTACTCTCCAATCTCAATGAAGGAATTAAAGTAACAAAGAATGCAAGGTGTTGCTACCTTTAGCAAAGTCCCTTCCCTCCTTTATAAGTTACGTATGTCTCTCGCCCCCCTCACCTGTCTCACAGGTGTGTCCCGTCCAGCCCAACCCGCAGGTACAGGCCCCGGAAACAGGGTCACACTTCCCTCCGTTCCTGCAGCGACAGACCTGGGCGCAGCCCTCCCCAAACCGGCCCTGTGTGCACTCTGTGGGACATGCATGCAGTGCTTTTATCGCAGTGACCTCACACATGCACGCAGTGCTTTTATCGCAGTGACCTCGCACAGCCAGCTGGTGGTGCTGGGGAGCCGCGATTCAGCAGCAGTCGGCAGCAGTTGCAGTAAAGGAACCTCATTCATAAACAAAAAGTTATCATTTCTAATATCTGAATGGGTACTTTATTTAAACTGCACATGCAAAAATCTGTATAAATATCAATTGAAATGGAAATTGATAAGATCATGAAAGGCATTAGCATTAATATTAACTTTAAACTAGCGGCTCAGATTTGTATCTGGCTTTATATCAGTAAAGGACTAAAATCAGTACCATACTCATTTGTAGTAGCTGGTATAAGCTCCATAAGGCAGAGTCTCACCTTGTTGACATCCCACACCTGTCCGGCCCGCGGAGCACACACACCGGCCCGTAACCGGGTCGCTACTCGCCCCATCGCCGCACAGCGCCACCTGGGCACAGTCGGGGCCGTAGCGTCCTGCTGGGCAGCCTGGGAAGACAGAAAGGGGGGGGGGGGCGGGTTCAGTGTCAAAGCAGCATCTCCACAGTCATGCTAAAAATGACGTTAGCTGGTACGTTTTGGGACCCACCCTCCATAACTTAACCCCTACTCAGCCTTAACCTCGACCATAAGTAACCAAACAAAATACGAGACGTTTGGCATTTTTACTTTTTTGATTGCAAAAACTGAAAAATGGTTCCCACAATGTGAAAATAACAGGTTTTTATCACATTGTGGGGGACATTTGGTCCCCACAATGTAATATAAACATAACACACACACACACACACACACAGACCGGTACACATATCTATGTGGAGACCACCTGTTTTGTCTATGGGCAAAACATTTGGTCCCCATAATTTAATGTATATCTGACCCACACACCCCCACACACACACACACATTCATGCACTCATTAGTGTGTACAATGTCTTGAGAAATAGTTCATGGGGTGTTTTGGATCCTCTGGCTCAGTTACATTCATTGTTAACAGCATAAAAATGTATACAATTTTTTTTTATGAATTATGTTTTTGTGTAAGTTAACCTGTAGGTGGCGCAGTGACCCTCGTGTCTGCGAGAGTGATAGAGGTGAGTGACACTCACCAATGCTGCAGTCGGCCCCGATGAACCCCGGGAGACAGACGCAGGTGCCCGTTTTGGGCCCACAGGTTCCCCGGTTCTGGCAGTGGCACTGGCGCTCGCAGTTTGGCCCGTATGTCCCCGGCCTGCATCCTAGGAACCCAGAGCTCTTAGGCAAACGCCCACCCCCACCACAAACTTCTCCAGAACCCCAGCATCAAAACAACAAATACCAGCTTCAGAAACAGCTTCTGTCCTCCAGCCATTGAGTGGACTGTGACCGTCCGTGGAGCCTGCATATTATCGCACTGTTACTGCACTTTATCAGTCACTTTATAGCCATATTGTCTAGTTTTCTGTACAATCTGGCACTATCTGCATTGCTTTTTGCTGTCCAGAGTCTCTCCGTAACTGAGTGTGGGTGTTTGAGCAGGCGTTCCAAAGCACCTGCAACGTATGGCCAAAAAAGACCTTGAACCTTGAAAGGTGGTACCTGCCCCGGGGATTCTGAGGAGGACTCACCTTGGTTACAGCGCTTGCCATGGTAACCGGGAGCACAATAGCAGAGCCCAGTGACAGGGTGGCACAGCTGGTTGGCCTCAGAGCACTGGCACACCTGGTTACAGTTCAGGCCATACGTACCAGGGAGACACGCTGGGGAGAAGCAGGAGGTGATGAGGCCATGATGAAGCCCCCCTCCCCACCCCAGCAGGACAAATGTGTGGGTCACTATCGCTCACTCTGTTCACAGCCGTTCCCAGTGAAACCAGGGGGGCAGCCACACTCGCCGGACACATGGTGGCAGGAAGTCCCCGGTGGACAGGAGCAGCGCCCCCTGCAGCTCTCCCCGTATGTCCCGGGCAAGCATGCTGAAATGTCAGTCCAATGACAGTCAAACAGTGCGGAGAAATAAACATACTGCAAAGAAAATCTGCTCCAATGCAAATTCGTGAAATGCAAAAGAAATTAAATACTGCTGAAATGCTAATGTGCTGAAATAAAAACATGATGAAATGGCAACGAGCTGCAATGAACACATTGTGAAATGCAAATGTTCAGAAAAATAAACACTCTGCAATGCAAATAAGCTGGAATGCCAAAGTGATTAAATATATTCACAATGAAATGCTAACACGCCAAAAAGCTAATGTGCTGAAATGCAAAAAGTGATAAACAAAACAGTCACACCAAAAAAGCATGCAAAAATACAAAATAAGCATTTTCAAATTCAACAATGAACATGCTGAAATACAAATGTGCTGAAGCACTGAGAGGTTAAAAACAAATAAAAATCCTGCTGAAAATATAAACTCTGAGTTCTCACAGGCTAAGTGGGGGGGGAGGGGGAGCTCACCTCTGTCACATAGTGGCCCCCGCCAGCCTGGGGGGCAAAGGCAGGCCCCAGTGATGTGGTGACAGGTAGCATTGTGCTCACACTTGCACGGCTGCGTGCAGCCCGCCCCAAACGCGCCAGGGGGACACGCTGTTTATATGCAAACAGACAGATCCACATGCTAACATTAGTTATCATTCATGCTGTGATTGATAAATACAACATTAAATGAATTAAACCGATAAAAGCAATATTTGGAATATTAAGATACTAGCAAACAGCTGGGGACCCTGAGCAAGGCCATTAACCCCCAGTTGTTCCAGGGTCTGTCTATCTCAGGAAGAAAAGAACGTATCTGTCTTTGGATAAAAGCGCCTGCTGAATTAGTGCGATGCAAGCCAGAAGGTCCCTGGGACCCCAGAACCTCCCATCTTGTCACTTCTGCGTGCAGGAGTGTCCTCTCACCCCTCTGACAGCGTTCTCCAAGCCAGCCCGGCCGGCAGGAACAGCGGCCGCTTCTGCGCTCGCAGTGCGCCCCGTTCTCGCACTCGCACTTGTGTTGGCAGTCTGCCCCGAAGTGACCCTCGTTACACTCTGCGGGGGCACAAGAGGTGAGCGCGGCCAAAGACCGACATGCGTTAGCTGCGTTTATCATTCTCACCATACACTCTCCCCGCTTTCAGTCAAACCGAAAACTTCAATATAAACACTTTCACATACTTAAAAAGCTGAAGAATCGCTGGCCCGAATTTAAACTATTTCCTGGCACCAGAAAAGACAACGATATTTCTTCTCCTGGGAGCTGAACTGCTAACCTCTTACAAGGAAGCCTAATTTTTCCACCTCAGGCTGCCATCTACACCGGATGTAAGAAAAGGTGGGGAAACACCTCATTTGGCACCTGCAGAGAATGCTGAGTGTCACTGGGAGCTCATGCACTGTGACGGGTCCTGGCTCCATCCAGGACGCTAAAAGCCTCCAGCAACTGGTGGAGACCAAAGAGCTTCACCCTGTCTCATTAAGGAGAGGCCAGGCCGTTAAGAGGAGCAGCCCGAAATTTCTGGTTCACAGGAATATTCATGGTTCCCAAAGAGCCTCTGCTGTCACAGAAATATGTACGGGTGTGTTAGGGGAAATGGACTTTTAATTGCACTATAAAGTCAAGAGGTGCTGACAGCAGCTTTAAGGGCCACCATCTGAAACCATAGAAACGATCATCCCTCTCACAGTGGAGGGTTCAAGCCTACATTACGTAAAAGAGCAAAGAGCCGACACCCTGGACATTGAGGCTGCTGTACTGTCTGTCCTGCCTCATGCTGGCTTCAAATTTTCCTTTTCTTATTGGGCTGTTTTTAACAACAGGTGCGATCAACCGAATAAAATTCTCTAAAGACGAGCAGGCACAATTTGGCACCGATGACATATGATGCCTTAAAATGTTAGCTGTATATCATGTTTATATATCTTAGTATTTATCTTCTATGTATTACTTTTCATTTGCGCTACAACCAATGACAACGAAGTTTCAGCTCAGCATTTGAAGCTGACAACGACACCTTGACTTGATAACGGTGCCTCTCTACTTTTGTAACAAGAGCTTTCTCTGTTGGACTATCCTCCCGGCAAGCTGAGTGCCATTAGGCCGAGATATAGACACAGGTCACCACGCCAGGCAGAGACGATCCCTAAAGGTGCTTAAAACATAATCCTCGGAATCTATACCATTTTAGCAGAACGTCAGCCAAACAGCTAATCACCATTTCGGTGCACTGCCTACGCAGGGTCTCCAAGGCGAACGTTATTTGCTTATTCAGATCCCACCCACTGTCCACGATTGGCTAACTTAAATGTGACACCGCAGGATTGGTCAGCACGACTAATTATGCAGTTACCGGCATGCTTTGCGTGTGTATTTTTTTTGTTTATAGTAAATGTCAGTAACCGTGTAATATTTGCCATGCAATGTGTGTGTGTTGTTAGCGTGTAACCATGAGTGTCGTGTAAATTGTTGGCTTCCCTGTCTGTGCCACAGCTAGTATTAGATCAGTAGTGGCTATTAAGAAAGAGAGCAACTTACATTTTTTAAATTGCTATCATTTCCTTTATCAAGACGACACGCACTCACCACATTTGCGCTGTGTATGTGGGTCTGCTGCAATGAAAACATTCTGTGCCCATTCTGCTAGGGTTGTGGCGTGACATAAAACGAACACGGTGGAGGTGACAGATTGTTCTTGCTGACGTGTAAGACTTTGCTTTGTGCGGATGTTATTTGAAGTATATGGCCATCTTAAAGGCATTTTTTAGATCAGCCTTAAACTTTGTCATCAGATCATTCGAAGAAAATCTTAACAGCCTTGACATTTAATTTGGCTTAACACTTACATCTAGCAGTTATGGTGATTTTCCTTTTAATTTTTCCTACTTATGGCAATAGGTGCAAGGAATGGCTTAAAAATAGAGGAGACTTGACCAAACATTTGTTTTGCGTTACTTCTCTCAAAATTGTGGCTAAGGAACTTTCCCAAGCACTGGATAAAAAGGCAGATTTGCACACGCTGCCCATCCAGCAGTCAAGCCACCCGAGGCTTTGGCTCCAGTTGAGTGCAAGAAGTTTCACTGTAGCCAACACAAACATCCACGGCCTTTCCACTCCCCCACCCAAGTAGCGTCTGTTTCATCAGACGACACCTCCTGAAGTTCTGCTTGGGCCCTCAAGCCCAGCCTAGAAGACACAAACTCTCCAGCAGGGATGAAGATGGAGGCTTCGGAAGCAGATGACCCCTGGCTGCACCGACTGTCAATCTGCCGCTTTTCGAGCTTAATGTGAACAGCGCAGGGGAGCCGGCTTCAAGATACGTGCCACTTCGGAGCCGGGAAAAAGGCTAGCATGTTTTTGAGGGTCAAACACTCAGGCTTCCTGCAGAAAGTCACAGATTCAAGTTCCCAGGAGAATCCCTGCAGTTGTACCACTTTATATTGAATAAATACAAGTTAAAAATGAATAAATCATGGGCTATGGTGGAAGGCATGGAGACCTGCTTCTAAATGTGTAAGTAAGTAAGTGAAATTTATTGTCCTTCACACGATACGACAGTATGGCATAACACTGTTTCACTGCTAATGGGCGCCAACTGTATAACGATGGATGTGTGCTTGCAAACATCTGCAAACACGTATGCGATAGACGGGGAGGTGCTCACCCAGTTCACAGGCCATGCCGGTCCATCCGTCGGGGCACGAGCAGCGGCCGCTAACCCGATCACACGCTGCCTTGTTCTGGCACAAGCAGTGCTGCTGGCAGCCTGACCCATAGAGACCAGCTGGGCATTCTGGGAAAACAGTTTGGTGCCACAACCAGACACAGATCATCTGGAGAAAAAATGTGCTGAGCTACCAATTCCTGTCTAGCAGAGCACTTCAGAAATACACCATATGGGCAAAAGTACTGGGACACACGTAGTAATTACAGGAATCGGACACTTAAGCCACACCCATCGCTGACATACAGGTGTATAATTAAGATCACAGCTATGGAATCTCCAGCGTGAAACAATGGCAGCAGAGTGGGTGGTCATGCAGATGTGGCGAATCAGCCGAGAACCACCATTGGACTCCATTGGATACTTGGAACAAGTCGATTCTCCACATTTATGTCCTACTGGAGCTGCCCTGCTCAACCGCAAGTGAAGTGATGGTGAAGTGGAAACATCTGGGAGCAAGTTCAGCTGCGGGATGGGGGCCGCCTAAGCTCACATAAAGGGACCTGATCACCCAGCATCAATACCCAACCTGATCCCACCATCAATGTTCCAGCATCTAATGGAACGCCTTCCCAGGAGAGTACAGGCTGTTATAGCAAATAAGGGATAGCCAAGTTCATATTAATACCCTTTGATTCAGAGTGAGATGCTGGACAAGCTGGTGTCCAAGTTCTTTTGTCCATGTAGTTTCGTTTGGTGTGTTTTTGCTTCATGTCTCGTTAACGTTGCAGCATGAGGAGCAGAATGTGCCCTGAGTGTGACTGTATGACATTAGCAGGCTTGTCTGGTCGTCAGTCACTCAGGCTGCACTTACAGGCTATAAAATGGATACAACTGAAGATAGAAGGAACACAGCTACTTCCACTGGCTCTCTGGAAGCATTTTATTCCATCAGTTCCAGACTGTGCTGGTCAACTGCAGCATGTGCTGCCTGCTCTCACGCATCTGGCGTGACACTCACACTTTGAAACTCTCACGCTCACGCAAGAAAGCTTACAGCAAATCTATATTAGTCCATTATAAACCTAAAATTAGCTAATCAAAAGTGGTGGAGTAGTTTACAAACCCTACAGACTATTTACAAGGTAACAGAACTGTGACATGCATGTGATTGTGTGTGCAGGCTTGTCTTGAACTGAGAATCTCACTGCAGCCGGCTGGCCAAAGTTGGCAGGCTTATTACTCTGGATTAGCCAAGAAAACCAAACAGTTTCAGCAAGTCATTCTCCAGGAAGCCAAATTACACACACACAGATGTTTGTATTCATATCTTTGTGGGGACCGTCCATTCATTTCCACTCCCAACAATGACGACCTGAACCCCTATCCAGCCATAAACTTAATGATAAGCAACCAAACAAAATACAAGACTTTTAGTCTTTTTAGTTTTTTCATTACGGTTATGATTTTTATAAAATCGAGTTTCCCCTTGTGAGGACCCAGAAAATGGTCCCCACAACGTCAAAATAAGAGGTTTTTATGTCCCCACAATGCATACCCCACATGTATACCTGGACCACATGAACACACACACACGTACATACACACACACACAGAGGAGGTCAGTCACCTTGCTGGCACTTTGTCCCCATCCAGCCGGCTGTACACTGGCACTCCCCGGCCACTGGCTCACAGCTGGCATTGTTATGGCAACTACAGGGTAGGATACAGCCGTCGCCATAGAAACCCGGTGGGCATGCTGCAGCAGGTAACACAGGCAGACACAGCAAAATCACGCTTGGCATGATGCTTCCTAGGGAGACCCGGCTGTCCTCAATGAAGACCCATCCTCAAAGTGAGAGGCATGGCAGCCTCTCTATAAGACATGGGGTTTAAATCCAAAGAAACTTAGCATCCCCTCCTATGGGAAAAATGCACTCAGCCTAGAGTAACAGACGGTACTAACAGATGCAGCTGGAGCAGTATGTAAAAACCTAAGCAGAATATTACATGTTCTAGGACATTTATCATTATACCTGGATGCTTAAACCATATCACACTGTGTTAATGCCAGCATGGGCATCTGCTCTGTGTCTGACTGTAACAGGTAAACACGGTGTGCTTGGCGTTCATAGAGGGTCAGACTTACGGCTTCCGCAGTGCAGGCCCACCCAGCCGGCAGGGCAGCGGCACATTCCGGTCACGTGGTCGCAGCGGCCGCCGTTCAAGCAGTCGCATTTCTGCTGGCAGTCGAGCCCGTAGAATCCCGCAGGGCAGGCTGAGGGCATCGCACGGGCATACAAACACACGCACGCAAGAAGCAGCACACAGACACATGCAGGTAACTCTTAGCCGTGTTTGCTGGGGCATCCACTTAACTTCCACCTCCAGATCTCAAATCACTACTAAACATTTTTTGTTTGTGTTTTTTAAAAAGATGAGTTTGCAATAAAGGTCACGTTTTTCACATTTTGCTAAACATGTCCACATGCACGCAAGCATAAAACACAAATTCGTACACACACGCACATGTGACGTATTAGGCTACGAGCAACGCCGACACGGACTGTGAGCGAGAGCGTGTGCTTTTCATATCCTGTGTCATACTGATCTTGTAAGACCACTGCACAAGCATTCAGCATGGGATTAAACAAGGACGACAGGTGTGAATAATCACCATCTTCCTGTCAATTACACAGGAACCAGAATACGGAATATTCGGTATTTCTGTCTACAGTTCATTTGTTAAACACTAATCAAAAGAGTATGAGGCTCACCAGTCTGTGTATGACAGCTGAGATGCAGTACAGATTGCTTTATGAAATCTGAATCAGTTTGTTTTTTGCTACAAACTTGGTACGTTTTAGGACAAAGGTTCAGTTTCAGCTGGCCTTACGCTTTTCACAGTAGGTGCCGGTCCAGCCCCCCAGGCACGCACAGGCCCCGCTCACGGGGTCACAGGCCGCCCCGTTGTCACACTGGCAGCGCTGACGGCAGCCCGGTCCGAACGAGCCCACGGGACATTCTGCATGGGGGGGAAACACCACGCAGAAGGCCTTAGGAGGCACAGACACAGAGCAGAGGACACCAAACCACATGGATCCTGACTGACTTATAACAGCCGCTTATTCTGCCTGGTTCCTAGTAAAGATCTGGACTCACCATTCAAATCTAATGCACATCAAAAGTGAAAACTGCAGAAATGTTCAATCAAAAAGTGAAAAGGCACATTTACAAATAACTTTTAGCTTTTTGTTTCATAAACCCAGGTGTGTGTATGTACAGAATATTACCATGCATGGTGAGATCCGCCCCCCACCAACGCACATACTCTGATCACAGCGCCCCCCGGTGAACCCGGCCTCGCAGCTACACTGTCCGGTCACTGCGTCGCAGCTGCCGTCCCCCGTCCCGCAATCACAGCGGTTGGCGCAGTCCTTCCCCCAGTGCCCAGAGTCACAGGCTGCCACGACAACAAGGAGAGGCGAGAGGCACCCATGTCACACGCTGCTGACCCTGAATCTGCCTGCAGAAGATGCCCTACACTGATGCAACAAATGGAATGGAATCGCTCTGGATAAAAGCATTTCCTGTATGCAGTGGTGGGAGAAAAGTGTTAAAACCTCCAAACAACTAATCGTTTACAGTGCTGCAGCTATTTTTTTAGTCTTTACATTTATATATATACATATATACACACACACACACACACACACACACACACATTTAATGCTCCTAAAAACACCATGTTTGAACTAGTGAAGTTTGGTATATATTTGGTATATATTTCTATAAATAATATTTTTTAATTTTGTTTATTTCAGTTTGTTTCCTTTTATTTATTTTTAAAATTTGTAGCATTTTTTGGAAAGTACACAGTTTCATTGTACATGTACTATAACAATAAAGATTCTATTCTATTCTATTCTGTTCTGTTCTGTTCTAATCACCGAAACAGCGGGTTCCGCTATGTACTGGGCCAGAGACCCAAACATAAACACACACAGCTGTGAAAAGCAGCATGAAAGCAGGAGGCTGTTTTAAAGCCTGGGGCTCCGCTGGCTGACGGGAGACTGAGCGGGACGCACCTCTCCTGCAGTCGGAGCCGGTCCAGCCTGGGCCGCAGGCGCAGTGCCCGCTGGCGTGGTGGCAGCGGCTGTCAGTGTGGCAGACACAGTGCAGCTGGCAGCCGTGACCAAAGCGTCCTTCTGGGCAAACTGCAGACATGGGACTTCCTGTTACTGGCCAGTCTCCGCCCCTGGTGTATTAGCAGCGTTTCACAGTGGAAAAGCTACAGTATCGTTATCACAGGGATAATGCCTACTGGAATCACTGGTATACTGGGAGACATATGCATGGGTATTTGGGGTGAATGGGCAAGTGTAAATTTCATACTGATGTGCTACTGAAAATATGGTAACACTTTCTGTGATGCCATGTCTGTTAGAATCTATGATCACATTCGTGACACATTATAATACATTCATAAAGCATTATGAACATGGCTATAAATATTTATAAAAAGGCATAACAAGTTATAGTCATGTTTATTATGCAGTATGTAAACTTTATGAAGCTACCATCTATAATGAACTATAAATACCTTCATGATGCAATACAAAGCATCCTTAATTCTTATATTGACCATTATAATGCATTATGAAGGTATCTATAGTGCATTATAGACGAGAGCTTTATTGGCACTTATGAAGTATTATAATCAACACTATGACTGTCAATAGTAGACGCCCTAATTCATTATTAATTGTTATACCAACCATTATAATGCATTATGAAGGTATCTATAATGCATGATAGATGACAGCTTCAGTGTGTTACTGAATATACTGTAAAGAAATGACTGACACGGCCACTTCAGACAAATACTACCATGAAATATTCTCCTCCCATTCTGTGCGAACAGTGAGGGGCAGTTAGACAGACGAGAGGAAGGTGAGGAAGAGGAGCAGATAAGAAATGGGTGGGAGGCTCTGATGGTGGCAGCGACTCACCATGCTGGCACTGGGTGCCCATGTACCCCGGCAGACACTGGCAGGTGCCATTGCGTTTGTCACAAAGGGCCTGGTTCTCACATGCCAGGCAGAGCTCCCGGCAGCCAGGCCCCCAGTGTCCCTCCTCACACTCTGCACAGGGAGACACAAAGCAAATGGCACACAGGTACCAAACTGGTGTCACAGCTTCAGGCAATTTGCCGGATGTCCACCAGAGGGCGACAGTCCAAACCCCTCGATTTCTAGAAGTCTGCAAACAATCAGTTTCCTGCTCCTCAGGATCTCATTGATTTCACCTGTCTTGTTGACTTCCCTATGCAACCTCCCCCTGTTCTACAATCTGTGTTCAGGTTCGAACCAGTGTGGCTTGATTCAGTTATTGAAGTCAGTTCTTGATCTCCTGAAGTTTCGCACTGTGATCATTGTCATCTTCTGTTTGTCTTTTTGGTCACAGTTTTTTTGGGTTCGGTTTGAACACCTTTCTACTAAATACTCGCAGTTCTTAATATACTTTCCTGCATTTGTTGTCCGTAAGTGACGCCAAGCTGTGACAGTATCCACACTAAGCGACTTTTTCAGATGACTCTTGGCGCGTGGGCGCAACCGCCTCAAGGAACTTTCTGTACTTCGAACCTGGAATGTTTCCAGAAATCATCTGTTGACAGCGAGAAAGTATTAAAATTTAAATGCAACTATCCTTCCATCCATGCAACTGCCACCTACTTGGCTAGTTTTGGGGTGGGGGGGGGGAGCAGGGGGCATGAGGTCGGGGTCCCCTTGATGGGAAGCCAGTCCAGTGCAGGGCTATGAATATTTATTATTACTTATTAACTAATTTTCACTGGCCTGTTAAGACACTACTAATGTACTGGCTTATAATGAATGATACAGTGGTCTTATGCATTATTATTTATTATAATATAATAAATGATTACTTTGGTATTTGTTCCAATTTCATTTTTAATGGTTATGGACTGATTTGTGCCATCAATCATTCCCAGTTAAGTACATTCCTCCTTCAAACATCACTACGATAAACAAAATATTGGGAAGGTAGAAGGCCATTTACAGGCTTGTCAGTAGTTGTCATCGGCCTAATAATAACACACATCTTACAGGTAGCAAAGGCAGTTTCCCTTCCTGGAATTTCAACCTTCTGTTCATAAGGAGAGTTTTTATGACCAACACTCTACCAGCCGCCCAGCATCCTCTGCCAACTATCCACATGAATTGTAAAACCTGCTTAGAAACTCCTTTTGAATTTCCCATGCAGAACTGAAGCCATCGATCAGTCTGCTTTCAGGTCTTCTTGCATGAAGCAGCATATTATACCAGATCACAGGCAGATGTCCGAGCTGTGAAAAGCAAATCTAAAGCACCCCAAACACAATATAGTAATAATTCTGCTTTATTCTGAGGCCAGTCCCTTTTGTTTTGCTGCTGTGGCCATGCATATCTTGGGGAGATATTAGCAGTTTCACTTTAGCTCATCAATGTTTTTACTTGGTCAGTAAAATTAAATAAATCCCAGCTGCCTTTGCTGTATCGTGACTGAGCCAATCACAGAGGGCGGCTTCTGATGAAACCCTGCTGATCTGGCAGAGAATGTATTACTGGAGACCAATGCCAACACCTTATACCCAGGCTTCAAAGGGAGATGGCTGCTATCATGTATCAAAGGTTAGATTCCAGGCTCCATGGTCTCCCCAGCAGGTAGATGAAGCTTCATCATGGTTCCATGCGAAACCATACATCTCGACAGCCAGAAAGCTTGCTGGGAGTAAGCACTGAAACTGCTGCCTAGGATTAAAAGGCATCTGCATGGATGCTTCAGCAAGATACTTGAACAGAAACTGCAGGATATCCATGTAAATCGTGAAGCTTCTTTTCATTATAAGCTTGAAAAACTTCTACCAAAATGCATCTCAGGAGCTTAAAGGACTGTTGGCCACAGAGGAGCTCAGCGCGTGTCTCTGCCAGCTTTCCATGCTGGTCTAGTCAGTTATATGTCCTGATGCACTCCAGACTGCATTATGGGTTTATAAATAATCAAATCATGCTAATAAGAACCGGTGGCTTTTGCTAAAGAAAGAGGTGAATCCAGCTCAGGGTACGGACTCTCACACCATCTCCCTGTGCTCAGATTCTCTACTTTTTTCCGTTTCAAACACAGCCGACATTCAGCACAATGTCCAAGAGAGTAATTACGCCATAACGGAAAGTCATTAAAAGTGGATACAAGAACGAAATGTGGAAAAACATGTTTCGAAAGTGGTAGGAACTTGGAGGCCTGTGCGGAACCACATTGCTGAGTGTGATACACAGAGACCTTTGGCAGGTCAGATGCAGCTTTCGGGAGGAAGAGCTGGACTACAGAGACTCCAGGCCGGCACTCTGCCAATCGCTGCCCAGAGACTCCAGGGCCGGCACTCTGCCAATCACTGCCTTTGCGCCTACTTACCTTTCTCACACTGATCTCCTTCCCTCCCGGCAGGACAGTGGCACTGCCCAGTCACAGGGTCACACGGAGCCCCAGAACACTCGCAGGACTGGGTACACCCTCTCCCATAAGTCCCCATGGCACAGACTGTAAAGACAGGAGAAGGCATACTGAAAGAGCAAATGGACCAGGAAAGAGCCCGATGGAACATTATCAGAGTATTACTATTTAATTTTGACGACTTTCACGGGACGGGAAAAACTCAGAGCGACCCCCATTTGCTGCACAAATTGCATAAGGTAGCAGAGCAGAGGGGCAATGGGAGGGAAGTGGGCTAAAGCTGAAGTAACAGGAGGTCAAGAGTGGGAACAATCATGGTACCACCGTAGAAAAAACGGGCAGGGGAAAGACTGCGACTGTGTCCCAAAGTAGGGGCTGCATCCTTCCATATCCCAAGATTCATTCCGCAGAGGTAAAGTGGGCGTGTCCCAACTAGGTGATAGGAGCTAAGGGCGGGAACAGCTAGCAGCGCAAATATAAAATTACCCATAGTCCCATTTTAACTGTATTTGACTCTCCCTGCCGGCCCCTGGAGGATGGGCTCCCCCTTTGAGTCTGGTCCCTCCCAAGGTTTCTTCCTTCTGGGGAGTTTTTCCTTGCCACTGTCGCCTATGGCTTACTCACTGGGGGCTTTGGGTGGGGATGCTGTAAAGCGCTTTGAGACGATGGAATGTTGTGATAATGCGCTATACAAAAATAAATTTGTTGTTGTTGTTGTTGTTGATAGCGCTTTCTGTCCAACCTTCAAAGGCCACACCTTCATAGACCACGTCCTTCGAAGCCTGCGGCCGCTGAATTCGGACACAGCCTAGGTGCTGAGGGCGAACGTAGCCAAAAGCAGCTTTTAACTCTACACCCTACATTCAGTCTCTTGACCAGGTGCATCGATCACTGAAGAGCTGCAGCGGCAGACCGGAGCGGCAGCAAGCCGAGAGCTAACGAGCCGCACTACCTGCCCGCCGCCAGCCTGTCACTCTAAACACATGGCAGCTGCAGCACTCTGACCACCTAATGGCTTCCAGGCGACGGCGCCGGTCTGCCAGCTCCGAGCCACTCTGGAAGCATCCCTCCCCGGTCCCGGCTGGAGCACGGCTCTCGCCGCTTAGTTTGACGTTTCCAAATTTCCAGAGTGGGAGGCATATTAGAGGGATGGGGAGGTCAAGGGAGGACAGAGGCCCAGCTGCACGCTGAGAACCTGAAAGCCAGCTCAGGCTGGTGTCGCTAAGACCTGAATAGGCTCCCCGAACAGATAACATCTCCAGGTCCTGCAGAAAGCATTGTGTGATCAGACCTTCAACATCAGTTACACGGCAGACGCTGACACTGCTGAAACACTATAATATTCATCAAGGAACAAGGTTACTAGTGACAGTGAATGTAAATGTATTCTCTACTTACAGTAAGTATTTTACTTAGTCGGTTTGAAATTTGTCTCATTATAATGTCTTTAATTCAGATTTTAAAATGAAAAACCTTATTTAAATAAAAAATGAATAAAGATGCCCCCTTGTTTGTTACAGTCAATGAGGTTTTTCATTCCCATGTGGTTCTGGGGGCCATGTTTGGCTTAGCAGGTCAGGCTACAGTACTACACTGGTTCAAATCCCCATGTCAGCAAAGTGATGTCATTACCGGGCCCTTGAGCGAGGCCCTTAACCCCCAATCGCTTCAGGGACCAGCTGACCCTGCCTTCTCAGAAAAACCAACGTCACTTTCAATAAAACCATCTGCTAAATGAATTAAATTTTAAATCTACTTTTAAGACAGTCATTAAATCAAAGTAAAGAAATTAAGTCATTTTACCAGCTGTTTCGCATAGAGAATGGAGCCAATTCCTCATTTAATACACATCTACCAGTATATCAATCTGAATCTTTCATGTTGTTACTTTCAGTCCATTATTAGTGATTACTGAGCTTGTTATGTACATTCTACAAAACACTGGATTTTTAAAACAAACAAAGGACTTTTACAATGAAGAACTGAAAAATTCATTGAGTACACTAAGGCTACATTCACATTACCAAACTGAAGTGACTCAAATCAGATTTTTTGCCTGAATGTGACTCTGATTTTCTGATTTTTTTTCACACAAATCTGATCTTTTCAAATCAGATTTGAGTTACTTTGATATGAGGTCCTAGATTGGATACGTATCCAATTTAGGGCCATGCAACATGAACGAGCATCGGAATTGGAATTCATGTGGTTTTTTTGCCTATATGCATGTGCTGAATGTGCAGATTTTTGGTCGATGGTGATGCAGATGACTAATGCAAAAATGTATAAATATGCTCATGTGAAGCATTTTGGAGGACAGATATATACACATTACAAACAGATACAGGTCACAAGGCATCCTCTGTCCCCTAAAACACACGGACCTCAACACCCACTAAACACCTGCAGCTCATTTAAAATGTGTTTTGCGTATTTAAATATTTAGTTGTGTTTGTTGTGAACATTGTAGCAGTGTTTGGAAACTGGATAATTAGTTAATTAGTACTGTGTTTGTGAATTGAGCACAGCTGTCTTTGGGTCCTGTTTTCTCTCACAGTGTGTAGCATTCAGGCATGAATTCCCTTTGTTTCCTAGGATGGTCGATACTCCTGGAAAATGCATGTTGTCCTATAGTCAATATGTTTTCCCTACATATGTAACAAATATAATTGTAATGGACAAATATCATTGTAATGAACTGAGATAAGCTAATAAGTTTGCCCCCCCCCCCCCCCAATGCCCACAGCACTTGCGTCAGGGGGCAGGCACCAACCGGAGGGATTTTGCAAAACTCACCCTGGTCACAGTGAACACCCCGCAGACCCATGGGGCACTGGGGCTGACAGTCGCCGGTCACATGACCACAGGGCACACCGGCTGGGCACTCGCATCGCCGCTTGCAGCTGGCGCCATAGAAACCAGCACTGCACTCTGTGGGGGTGACAGATCCAGCTGTGCTTAAATCACACAAGCGTTTGATGTTCCCGCTCTGTTCTGACATCTATTAAGTCTTTACTCAATTTTTTAAAAGCACGATGGTACATCATAACCATACCCACATACCTTAAACAAATGGAAATGCTTTACAGTATCTGCACCTTCATTATAGACTCATTATGCATTCATAAAACATTCAGTGCACCTTCATAATGCATTCATAGAACAGCCATAAGCCATATGTCAATATACCTTAACATCCTAACATATAGTACCTCAATAACTTTAATACACAATAATAACAAACATTATATGTTTAGACAATTATGTTTATTATCATATAATGTTTGTTATTAATGTATGTTAAAGCTGTTAAGGTGTTAAGGTGTACTTACATGCTACTTATGAATGTTCTACGAATGCATTATAAAGGCATTATGAAGGTGCTGTTAATGTAAATTGTCAGCTCTCAAACCTAAGGATTGCACTGTACGGGCCTTGGCCATTTTTAGTGTATAACATCTATTCGTTCATCTTACTATTCCATGCAGGTTCAGATTGACTCATGGTGTGCAGGGTGATCAACAAGGAGGCATCACCAACCGTCTTTGCATGTGTTGCCATGGTAGCCTGGTTTGCACTCGCAGGTGCCATGGCGACGGTTGCAATCCAGCGTGTTTTGCTGGACACACTTGCACTCCTCTGAGCAGCCTGGCCCGAAGGTCCATTTGGGGCAAGCTGTAATAGGGGAACCAAGCATATAAATAACAAGTATTGTTCATGAACCATTTGCTGAATCTTTTTGACCCCACTAGATGGCGCTCTCTGTTAAAAAAAAAGGGCCAAACGCAAGCGTCATTTTGTCCATCAGTAGTACAGTAGAATTTGGAACAGGAAAGGGGCAAGATGAGATTAGTGGTTGGAATGGAGAGGCGCAGAGTAGAGAACAGCTGAGTAGAGATTCCCCATAAAAGCCATCAAATGAGCCATGTGTGTCTTGCGTGAAAAGAAACAGTGTTAGGTTTGGGTGCGAGGACACTGACTGCCAGCAAGAGACAGAATATGACAGGAAGTGGGTGGAGCCAAAGAGACAGAATATGACAGGAAGTGGGTGGAGCCAAAGAGACAGAATATGACAGGAAGTGGGTGGAGCCAAAGAGACAGACTATGACAGGAAGTGGGTGCCAGTGTCTGAGGTAAGGCCAGAAAAGACAAAAGCTGGTGCCGGCTCACATGCAAACTTACGCAAGTGACAGAACCTGCCGTACAGCCCTGGGTCACAAAGGCAGGCCCCGTAGGTGTGATGGCAGCGCCCGTTGTTGGCACAGTTGCACTTCTTATTGCAGTACTTCCCATAGAGACCCTTTGGGCACCCTGCGGACCGGGAGATGCTGTTCATGGAACCAGTTAGCGAGTTGGCAAAAAAATGGATACAGAGCTTATAAAATCAAGACAAGTAGACCACCAAAAAAGATCCAGACAGGGAACGCTGAGAGACCTCATAAATTTATGGTCATGGTTACAAATAGCGAAGAATAAAATTTGCCTCGTGACGATTGTTAAAAATAGCACATGTCCATTTATAGTGAATGACAGTCATGATGCTTTATTTCCCGATATAAAATTCAACAAGTTTAAAACACACCTGAACAAATACGGCAAAATGGTGCAGTAATTTAACGCGTTTTGGGCTAAAGCCGGCGATTGTTACCATTCTCACACAGGTCACCAGTGACCCCAGGGGGGCAGTGACATGACCCCGTCACCGGGTCGCACGTGGCACCGTTCCTGCACTTACAGGAGAAGGAGCAGTTCCTCCCAAAAGTGCCCTCGGGGCAGGCTGTGCCAGAGACAGAGGGTGGGGTCAAGCCACGCAAAGGATTGTGGGTCCCGTCCATTTGGGATTAATGTTCATGTGAAATAGCATCTTTGAATAAACATGTCTTTTAAACCACACCATAAATATAAAAAGTGATTAACGTTAATTTATAAACGATCAGTGGACTTTTAATGAAGTTAAAATGTGTCTTCTGTCATATAATTATATTGCTGGGTGCAGTGTGAACTGAAATGTATTATTTACATTTCCTGATGGTATGGTAAAACAAATTTCAATTTCACAGCTGAAGAATAAAGTCATAAAAATAATGTTGTAAAAGGTGAGATGACCAGGATAAGTGTGTGGATGGATGGATGGACGGGCGGACGGATGGACGGCTATGAGTGCTTGGGGCTTTCGGCCATGCCTTCTCGCAGCTTACTCACTCTGGTTACAGATGAGCCCCGTCCAGCCCTCGGGACAGTCGCAGCCGTCACCCCCTGGGCTGCATGTGGCACCGCTGGCACAGTCCTCGCACGTCAGGCTGCAGTCATGGCCGAAGCTGTGATTCAGACACACTGCCTCAAAAGAACAAGAAGTGACTGTTAGAACAATGGCCATGCGCTGAAGGGCCAGCTTCCAGTAGGCGGGGCTCCTTGGTCAGGTGCACACTCAGATCCAACGCTCTCCAAAGCATCCGTACACAGGCTTACATAGCAGAAATAAGAAACCATAGCTACTGACTAGACAACAAAAGGTCTTTAATGAAATCTGCCGATGCTTTTTTTCTGTCCAGCAGGGAGCATAACGGTCAAGTGCATAGAGTCATAACTCATAACTAAAAATAACAGCAAGTTAATAAATGGTGTGACTGAGTGGTTCTCAAACATCTTGAATCAAGTTCCACTATGGATCAAAGCAAAGCAGGCAAGTACCACCTGGGTGGAAAAAAATCACAGTAACCTGAAGCACAGACACGAATTATCACTGTTTTCTCACATACCACAGTTTGAGAACCACTGGTATTGCTGGTGAAAATAAGAACAATCTCCATAGTTGCCACTGCAGGTCCCTTATTCTGGGCCACTAACTATTGTCTCTACTAAGAAAAATAGTGAGACCACTAGAGATTTCTTTTTTAACTCACCATCTAACTATCTCTATATATAAACAAACAAGGATCTTGTGGGCCATCACAAGCCAGTACAGCAGCTTCGGTGGACCCTGAAATAGACTGTATAATTGTGTGTTACTCTACTACAGGGGTCTCATACTCCAATCCTGGGGGGCTGGAGCCCTGTGTAGCTTAGATCTTTCACTGTCCCATCACAAGTAATTCAGCTCAAGAGCTGTGTGGTAATTAGCACAAGGAGTTGAATCAGGTGTGTTAAATGAGGGGAAACCCAAAAGTTTGCAGAGCTCCGGCCCCCCAGGACTGGAGTTTGAAACCACTGCTCTACTAGAATGATGTGAGACTATTTGTCCATGAGAAAATTCTTCATTTAGTTTGTTGATGGTGGTATGTTGCTGTTTCAGGCAACGCTGCAGAATTTTCTGTTCATCTGGAGTAAACTTTATAGTTCTCATCAAACCATTCTGTGGACGAGGACGTCATCATCATGGAAATTTCCACTCCCATCAGTATAGAAATGCTTCACCACAAGTTTGATCACACAGAATGGGTTTGTACTCATTGGCCCAAACCATACTGTCTATAGGGTCGAGGGAGCAAAAAGTTTGCCAGGAAAATGCACCACAACAGAGCCGCCAGAGCCAGGGACTGCGGAGAAAGGAGCCCTTAACCCTAAGGGGGCTTCATTTGCCATGAATGACACATGTATGCATCTGGCTGCTAAAACACGACCCGATTCATCCGACTCTACGAGTTTCTTCCACTGCTCAATTCATCATGAAGGCATTAAGAAGGTGCAGTTAATGTAAAGCGTTACCAAAAATGAAATAAAATTAATGCATTTTCTAACTAGCTTCTATCAGATCTAGTTAACCCTTATCTGCGATGCCCAGAGAATTCCTCAGTGCAAATGATAAAGCTGTGTTTACAAGTATGTCATGCATGCAGGGTTAGGGTTTGGGTTCGGCACCCCCTGCGTGTTTGTGTTTGGCACCCCGTGCGTGTTTGGGTTTGGCACCCAATGCGTGTTTGGGTTCGGCAACCTCTGCGTGTTTTGGTTCGGCACCCCCTGCGTATTTGTGTTCGGCACCCCCTGCGTGTTTGGGTTCGGCACCCCCTGCGTATTTGTGTTCACTCGTACCGATCATCTCGGAGAGCGCGCTCTCGGCCCGCAGCTCCCCCAGGCCCTCCTCGTAATCGTCAAGCCGCTCCAGTTCTGTGTCCGGTAGCCAGCTGTAGTCACGAAGCAGCGTGAACCGCGGCGGGGGCCTCTCCACTGCCACACGCTGCGTCAGCGCCTCCACGGGGCCGCCAAGAGCTGGGGGGCGGCAAGGGGGGGGTCCCAGTGCAGATGTCAACACCCCGATGATAAATAATCTGAAGCCCTAAAGTGTTGTTTCCCAACCCAGTCCTCGGGAATTCCCAGACAGCCCACATTTTTGCTCCCTCCCAGCTCCCTGCCAAACAGTCCATATTTTTTGCTGGGAGGGAGCAAAAACTTGGACTGTCTGCAAATCCCTGACGTCCAGATTGGGAGACACTGTCCTAAAGTATTAGGCAGTACTGGTTTTCAAAATGAACTGAAATCTATTCAGTTCTTTTTCTACCCTACAAACGATGAAAATCCAGGCTTGGATATTACTTTTGGCTGTATTCAAACATAGGCTTAAAAAATCATATAATTGAAGAGAAATTTAATTAATAAACAGCATGTAATACATGATAAAATTGTCATTCTAGCAGACAGTGATCTACTGCTGTAATGAACATTTTTGATGAAATTACTGTATAAAACAGCATCTTCCATGCAGTTAAGCTGTATAATTTTGTTTAGAGCCTCATTAGCAGACACATATCAGCACTCACTTCCTGGCCGAGGAGATTCTGGGACCCTCGGGGCGCTGTACTCACGGATGCAGCTGTGCCGGTCCTCATCCAGGCGGTGTCCTAGGTGACAGTAACACAGGTACGACCCGGCAGTGTTCTGGCAAGTGTGCTCACAGCCCCCGTCGTCAGAGAGACACTCATCCACATCTGCGGGACATAATGAGACCATGAGCGTGTTTATATTGAAGTGTGGGTAAGCACTGTACTTCAGGGGGCACAAATGATAAGTAGTAACTCAGTTACTACTGAAGTACAAGTCATGAGCAAATTCATTTAGAATGCTTAGTATTCGGTATTCTTGTTTGGTTATAATTATTATTAATGTTATATGAGAAGTGTTTTCAGTTAAGGTTGATCTATGTTGGAATGTACCATCGCAGCCACAGCCGTCAGAGTTGAGATGGTATCCAGCTTCACAGTGGCACTCATACCCCCCTGGGTAGTTGGTACAGTCCTGGCTGCAGCAGCTGCTCTCTTCACATTCATCCAGGTCTGGGAAGCACAAACATTCAGGGTGTAAATACGTTGAATCACTGGCATTCTGTGCTAAACATTTGGACACAAGTGCACCCCCTGATTTATAATAAAATTGGTTTGGTCCAACAGACCAGGAGGTGCCAGAGAGAATAAGCGTGACTGTCTGCATCAGTTCAGAGCAGGTGAGCTGGGAAGCTCGGAGATTCCAGAGATTCATCTGCCGATCAGTATCTCCTGCTGATCTCTGTATATGTTTATGGTCTTGAGCAGAGTAGCAGCCTGATGAATCCATACAGGGATTCACAAGGGTCCTGGAAAGTCAAGCCCAGAAACACTGGAAGGAAGTCAGGAGAAAAAAATTCTTCTAAGCTCTCAGCAGGTGGGATCAGACGCTTTCTATCACTTCTAGGTTTGGGAGTCCAGTTAAACAAGTCGGTTATGGATGTTTCATGAGTGCTTAGGCCTCATATCGTTTTTGCTTCTTCCTATTTGTAAAAGGTCAGCATACTAAGGGCCTGGACATCAACACAAGTTCCTTCTTTCCTGGATCATCCTTGAATTTCTTCCCCTTTCATTTACAGTATGCATTTCTGTTTTTTTTTTCCCCCCCAGACTCACTATAAGTTCTGTATAACATGAATGGGTTTCGAGTCTGAGTTTAGGTTTTATTAGTGTTCAAGCTCGATCTCAGGCTTTAGTGTATGTATTATGCTTGGGTGCATCTGTGTTAAGGGTGTTTTAGAAGAGGAAAAAGGACAAGTGTGCGAACAGCACTGAGACTGGGAGCAGGTACAGGTTACTTTCTACAGCCCTGATTGTCACCTGCACCCCCACTTACCCACACAGGTCTTGAAGTCATCGTCTAACTGGTAGCCATGGTTACAGCCGCAGACAGGTCCGCTGGTGGAGTGCTGGCAGCGGTGAGAACAGCCGCCGTTCCCCGTCTCACAGCTGTTGACGATCTCCATCTCAATGCCTGTCAGAAAGACTTGCCCTGAGTTCCGTCACACCAGAAACACTCACTGCTGTCTGCCATGTGCTCATGCACTAAGAATATGCTCTATTCTAAGAGGATAATCAAATACCACTAAGGACACACATCTGCATGGAATAAAGACACATCACTGTGCACCACAGAGCTCTTCATTTCATTACTTAGTCATCGCACTCTTCTCTTCCTTTGAACTGAACAGAACAGAATGTATTCTTAAGGTTTTATTCACTTCCCAGCTGTATTTTGGGTACAGTATTATACGCCTAACTGAACCTTCACTGAACTTCAACTTTTGATTTGTAGAACATTGGCTACATAAAATCATACAGTGCAATCAACAATTACGAGTGGAAATGGGAATATTTGGAAAGTCTTGAATGAATGAATGAATGAATGAATGAATGAATTAACAATGAATGAATGCACAAGACAATGAAATTGTAAGACTATCCTTGTCAGTGGAAGAAAGAAAAACATCAAGAAGGATACAAATAAAGAAAAAAATATGATTAATAGGATATAAAATAAACAGAATATAAACAAACAGAAAACAAATAAATATGTAAATAGTGTAGGGAATAAAAATGTAAACAATGTAAAAGTACATTGAAAAAATGTAGGTGTTTAAATAAAACGAGCGTCATGTCATTGGTGTTCCTCTCCTTGTGATCCAGTTTCACAATAAATATGAAAGTATTACACATTTCAGCAGTATTTTCATATTTATAGTGATTATAATGGGGATTGGAGACAGTCTGTGCCTTGCTGCTTTGCGGGAGCACTGAGACTCGAGGTAGCACTGAGACTCGCGGTAGCACTGAGACTCACGGTAGCACTGCTTGCCGTCGGCTCCGAGCTCGTACCCCAGGTTGCACACGCAGACGAAGGAGCCTGGCGTGTTGCGGCAGCCATGGGTGCACGTAACCTGGCCTGTATTGCACTCGTCAATGTCTGAAAGACACACACACACAACCAGAGGTGATTAATCCAGGTCCAGAGAGTAAAAGTCCAGACCAAGATTTTGTTTCAACCAACCAGTTCAGCCTAAAGAGTCACAGTCACAGAGTACTCAACTGGTTGGTTCAAACAAAATCTTGACCTGGACTTGTGCTTTCTGGACCTGAACTACGACCTCTGCATACAACATCCTCAAAGTACTATATGAATTTAAGGCAAAAATCCTTAAGAAATTGTTTCTTGTTGGAATCATTCCTTAGGATAAGATTACTGGCTTCAGCTCACATTCTGGCCCCAAGATCTTCTGTTCTTCTCTCGACCGAAAAAACGAATAACCCTTTTCCACACACCCGACCAAGGAAAATAAAAAAGACTACCAACTATAAAAATGCAGGCCTGGGACACCCATCCAAACTACAGGAAGTCACCCTGCCACAGGAGATACCCACCTTCACAGCTCCTGCCATCTTCTGCTAGCCTGTACCCAGGGTGACACTGGCAGCGTGCACGCCCTCTGTGGCTATGGCATCTGTGCGCGCAGCCACCATTGTTCCTTGCGCAGGGGTTCCTCACTGACATGGAGTAGACACCATGAGGATAGAACAATCTATTATACCCTTGGATAAAGTACAAGGTTTAAGATAAACAAAACATGAAGGTGCAACTGGAAGCAGTGCGTGAGTGGTATTTGTTTTTATAAAAATTACTGTGATCAGTTCCAGGTTTTTGCGCCTGGAAGGAACCACATGTGTTCCTCAGCCTTAAAGAACACTGCGGACTGGAGATGCTTAGAGGTCCAGGAACCGTGGCTGCAGCTTCCAGAGGAATTCCGACACCCGGACCCTGCCAAGTTTGGTTTGGGTAGCTGGGGGCATGTTGAGAATGCTTCTTCATTGTGTCCTACAGCTTGGGTTAAGGACAGTTTAGAACCTAAGCTGGGGTTTTACAGTTCCTGGACTTTTTCATGTAGATGAGTCTTGAATCGAAGAAGTTAGAAATCTCATTCTCTGAACAACGATTGGATTATAAGAGTTTATGGTACTAGACATGATTTATGGTACATAGACAACTGCTGTGTGAATTCAGGGCAAATAATATCACCATACAAATGTCACCACCAAAAGATAATGACTTATCTATAGATCTCACCCTACATGACATATGATATGCTCTTAAGAGATAGGCTTCATAATCTCTCTGGAACTACTGGTTTTGCCTATGGTGAAAACCCCTCTTTGCAGAAAGTCATTATGCTGTGACCATGCAGGCAGTGCCACAAAATTCAGCTAATCAGAGGTCATGAGAAAGCAAACAGAGACGTTCAACAGAAAGCTTGTGGTGTAAAATACAACTCAGAATGGCAACACGCACTTCTAGCTGAAAAATATCGAGGACGAAAGGACTAAGTGACACAGAAGCAGCTTGTGGCTATAAACATACTTTTCATCTTAGGAAACTATAGATTCTTGGGCTGAGAAAGGAAGCAGATGATCTGTAGAGGGAAGCAGTCACACACATGTGCGATTGGACACGGGGACTCACACGGACCGCTTAGGATGCACGCAAGAACACACATGTACGATTGGACACGGGGACTCACACGGACCGCTTAGGATGCACGCAAGAACACACATGTGAGTGTACATCAGTGCACAGATGGAAAAAGCAAGCACAAAATGACTTGCACAAGCAAGCACACATACAGATGTGATACAGACACACGCACACACACACACACACACACCCATGTAAACCTCTACACACAAACCTGCTTCCCATTTCAATTTCCACAAAAAACAAGGACACCATTAAGAAAGTGGAAGTTGCAGGTGGGCCAGAAAAGATGATGAAGCATATCTATCCTAAATGAATAATCGTCCTCGGTGTGTTGTGGTTGCTTGTCTTGTCCGCAGTGAGCTCTGGAGAAGCTCAGGCTTGTGGATCACTTGCCTGGACTACAGAAAGGGCTGGCCGAATGTGCCGAGTTTACAGCAAGGCTGTCAGCGAGGCAGGCCGGCACCGTGGATTGTCAGAACACGTAGAAAAGAGACGTGCCAAACACTAAAGTAAAAATCGTATTGCTAAATGTGTTTCCTCTTCCAAAATGGCTTAGTGGTTTTTGTTCAGTTTTTAAGAGAGTTTATTTAAATTCGATTGATATTATCTGCCTCCATTTCAGGTTCCCCATGTCAAGGAATGGGAGACTGGCGTCACTGAGGAAGGCAACGGGTGTACTGTGGAGAGGAGTGGGAGAAAGTCAAGTTGGAAGTTCAAGACATAGGAATGAAAACGACATTGCGATCAATAGGATCAATGTCAGGAAAGCAAGGTGAGAGACCATTTATCAGAACCACTTAACAGCTGAAAGGCAAATTTAGTCAGCTGGCTAATTCTCCCATAATGCCCTGGTCCAGGCAGATACGTGCAGTTCGCCAGCTGTTTGATGGCCCCTCCCCACCTTCCTTTCTTCAGCTGTCTGTCACTGAGCGCCTAAGCCATCCAAATACAGATTTATCATCGTAGCTGCAGGCCAGAAACCCACAAGCATCTTTCATCCCCTGCCTAACCATTGCGAAAGAGGAACCCTCACTTCAAGTTAATTATTTGTACTTTTTGATCGTACATTTTTGCATTATCTTGTTCTTTTTATCTGTGTAAGTTTCACCCATGGCTGCTTGCACCTTTAACCTTCCTGGAGATTGCTGGATATTTCACTGAAGCTCTTCAACAGACGAGGCCCGCTTAACAGGACACCAGCGACCGTCTGGCTCTTCGCCTTTTCCGGCGTGGCCCACTGGCCACTTCAACACACATCCGCGGCTGTAAACGCGCTCCGGAGCCGCTCGCCCAGCGCCAATATCTTCCTGTAGCTTTTGCAAGCCGATCTGGGCGAATAGCTCGAGAGTGAAAAAACAAAAAGCCTGGCCATTAGCCTCACACTAAAATATGACAAAGGGTCAGTGTGGCTGATCTGGAGCTAAAGATGCTGTCACAGCACTTTCCCAGTGTCCTAGTCGTTAAAAGAAGTTTTTAACATAAGGGACGCACAGGGGCGGATTAACGCACAGGCTAGATATGGCTTAAGCCTAGGGGCCCCACGTGTTCCAGCCTGCAAGGGGGCCCCCATTGGCGCGGAGGGGGGCGGGGTTGGGGGGCCCACAGACTACTGTAGCCTAGGGGCCTCTGTACACCTTAATCCGCCCCTGGGGACGCACTCCCTGACTGTCGGTGAGGTGCATCTCCAGTCTGCAGTAACCCATCGACTCAGAGCAGGAACACATCCTTCATCGGAGGAACCTCAACTGCAATTCAAACGCTCCCACATCATCAAAGAGGCTGAAGCTCTGGACCGACCAGCAGGTGGCGCCATCACTTACGTCGGCAGTGCTTGCCGTCTTCAGCCAACTGGTAGCCATGTCTGCAGCGGCACTGGAAGTGGGAGGGAGCCAGCTGCACGCAGTCATGCTCGCAGCCCCCGTTGCTGATGGCACAGGAGTGAACAGCTGGGGGGGGGCAGAAAAGGTTGGGTCAGGGGTAGAATGACCCCCTCACTACTGACCACGACTTTCAGTCAAACCAGGAAGGTCAGTTGCTCATTTTCCCATTTTCCTTTGTGGGGTGATTATGACACAGGAGGGATCAGTTACCCGTAGCAACATGATGGGCTCCATCCAATCAGCAGGGACAAGACCCACCCAAATAACTACCTCTTCACCAGGCTGAGGTCTGCAAAGCATGTCTGTTGTCTCAGAGGCTCAGAAGAAGCTTCCACCCTCAGGCCATTAGATTGCTTAACACTAATTGTCAGCAGTAATCTAACTTCCCTACTAATGCACCAAGCATGCTATTGGAGCTGAGTTCACACATATCTGGCCTTCTTTCTCTTATTACCAGCAACACTTTACTATTCCTTATTTATTACATATTTTTGATACTGTAACTTTGTTTGCTCTCAGCATTCTTATGGGGAGTCGACCACCCTTGCATTTCACCCCAGGTTGCATTTGGACTGTGTACCTTGCATGAGACAAATTAGACCTTTGAATCCTTGAATCCACCACATCCTACATGAACAATTACGGTGATGGATATCAATGGAATAAGGCTTAGACTAGCTACACAACCAACTTTGTAGAAGACCCACAGAAAATAACAACCCTTTGCCTTTTGTTGAATTCCCTTTGGAAGAGAAGCACTGCCCGATTTTCTATACTGTAACTGTCCAGAAGAATAGTTCTTAGATGTTCAAAGGTCAGCATTACAGTATGTCTATGTTCCTCAAAAGCCCACTTGAATTAGCTTGCAATTTGCTCCCAGATAAACTATGGCAATACCCTGAACTAATCCAGTCCCAGTCCTGAAACCAAGACACCGACAGATGGTAAAAACACCCTGGTGAACCCTTTTCTTGGGCAGCGTTTAAGGTCCAAGGGCACCCTGTGTAGCTATCTCATGTCTCTCCATCTCATGATAATCCCGCTCGGCTTCGTCGGGGAATGCCAGCGACTCCCAGTCACTCAGCAGCCCACCGCTTTTCCACCACCTCCCCTTGCTGTGGGAATCTTGTGCTAAACAGATCAGAGAGCCGGTGGTTTCCTCAGCAATGGGCAGGTAATGGGAATGCCCCCTCCCATTCCGCCCCCTTTCATTAGGCTCTTCCTAAAAGCATCGCCCAATTCTTACACATACCTGCTTGTTACCCTGCCTATTGTTCCACTTTGATATTCTGAGGATAGTTTTACACTAATGCATGAGGACTGTGAAATGCTGCTGACTAAAGACCGGAATGGACTCAAATCAGGAAAGAGTTGCGCAAGAACCTAGAAAGAACTGCAAGACCACCAGTTCTGCAAAACATTCTGCAAAACAATGATGAATGCGTCTGACAAATACTCAGTTATCTGAATACCATTTAAGTCTCTGGATGGGGCTCATTCTCTATAATTTACACTTGAATTGGTGTAATAAAGCATCCTACCCAAGTTAAAGAGAAGACCCAGACAAATACCCCCCCCCCCCCCCACCTGAGCAAGCAGAGATCCCTCATTGGGTCTCAACTCTTTCCATGGGTGGTGGAGAGCTTGTGGTTACACACTGGCGCTAGAACATTTTACAGAGGCCTTAGGTTCATCACAATCACAGTGAAGCTGACGTGGCTGAAGCGCCACTTCACTGCAAATCACCGAAAGTAAAATGGAGCGAATGAATTCAAAAGTCAGGAATTAGCATTAATATTAAAACTTACAGCTGGGCCTGAAAGCCAAAGTCAAAAAGGCAAATCAAAAAATTAAACAAGCATTGTCATTAAGGAGAAAAAAAAAACACCTGGCTTGTTCAGAAATGTTTATGAAGGATCCCAGTTCCTCAAAACCTTCAATTTACATGGGAAATGTTTCTCTAAGTGGTAAACACTTCTGGGTTGAGTGAAAAACACACTCCTGTAATATGAGAAAGCAACATTCACGTTTGAGTTTTTGCCATCCCAACTGGTGCCATGACAGGGCTTTGCATTAAAACTGATTTAGCATGATCTCAGGTTAGCAAATGATCCCAGGGATGGAACAGGATGCAGCAGGACCCACTGAATGTGACCATTGTTAACCTCCTCCAGGCCTTCAGCTGGGCTATGACCAAACAGTATATGATACATAAGCCACAGGCCCAGTACCATCTGTTCTAATACAGATGTCTTCTTCAGCCAAATCGCATACGATTTCTAGCACCAATGTACGGTATCGACCCAAACAGGATTCCGCTGTAAACCACACGAAGTCGATCGTTAGGGGATGCAGACGGGCAGGAAGCAATGCTACTCTCCTTATAATAAACACTTCAGCACACAAATATGTGTATATGGCACAAACTGAATACTATGAGGGTGGGGGGGGTGGCCTGCGCCCGTTTTCACAAATACCGTACACAGATATTAATTAAGAATTCAAATTCATTAACATAGAATTTCCAACAACCTCTAAAAAGAAGCACACTGGCTTGTGAACGGTAAGTATTATGTACCCCCAGACAGCATGTCTACAGCTAAGAGTCCGGGATTGGCTGGGCCACCCCCAGATTGCTGAGTTACAAGTCAAAAATCCACCACCCCCCCTTCACAGCTGAATCTACCGTAGAGGATTACAGCACAACTGACACGCACACACTCCAAATGTGGACTGTTTGTATGACATATGTGGAAGGCTGGGCCTTCTCACGTTCACTATTGATGTTTTATAAAAACTGCCGCCCTCCAAATCCAAGTACATGTTCCAACCTTAGCAAAAGCCCGGAATAAAACTAATAAGGGTGGCTGCTTATTAGCAAAGGGCAGCCAGTAAGACTTTCATTCCGTGGCAACCAAAGTGACTCTTGAGAAACATAGGTGTTTATAAAGCGTTACTTTCCAAGGCTCAAGTTGAAGGATTTGGAAAAGCTTCAATAGGGACATTCTCTTGACTGTGTTGGAGGTATGATGGGGGGGGGGTCTGTTTTACCATAATATAGTTCTGGACCAAGAGGGAGGAGCAATGGATCCAACATAAGAGACATAGTCCTCCAGACTACTGTTCTGAGGAGAGTCCAGACAGCCCAGGCCACAGGTGCGCCCCCTGGTGGTTCTCACCAATACAGGTGCGTGCGTCTGTGTGCAGGCGGGTTCCCGGGTGACACTCGCAGTAGTATGAACCATCCGTGTTCACGCATCTGTGCTGGCAGCCACCGTTGTGCACCTGACACTCGTCGACGTCTGCAGAGAACAGAGAAAGAGGAGAAGAGAGAGCAGATTTTCCATCAGCGGATCCTCATTATCACTGAAATGGGAGGTGCAGCACAAACAAGCACAAGGTGCAGCCTAGGAAAGCTGCCGTCTGTGAACAACAGCGCGGCCTGCAGGACCTGCAACGAGAGCACAGGAAACAATGCAGCATTAAAATCATCCAGCATGTCATGGGGGGTGGGGGGGCTAAACTCAAGCACGAAAAAAACATGGAAAACAGATCAGCTCACTGATCCATCGGACGGGGCCATCTGCAGAAGTGGACATTAGCTAATGTTGGCCAGAATATAATCTGGATGATTGGGGAAAAGGAGGTTAGGAATGACAAGTCAAGGAGGACTGGGGACTGGAGAAGGGGGGGGGGGGGTGAGGCGCTAGCCACACTAAACACGAAAACACGAAACACACCAAAAATGGCACTTAGTGCTGTTAGCGAAGCAGCCCATTCTGTTGCACAGCCACAGTGAACACACCAGCCTACCTCATGATCAGCAGAAATGGGGTCTTTACCCCAAAACAGAGGTTTGGAATTCAACACCATGGTAAAGACACACACTCGGCAAAAAGCTCTCCTTGTAAATATTCCCTTTGCGTCCCCTCCAGTGGAAACAGGGCTGGCTGCCCCTGTATTCTTGTACACCAGAAGGACACAAACTCTATATAAGCCCAACTTGCACAGATCACTTGGAAAAAAGGATCACAAGGATCCAGAACAATTACAGCAATGGAAATAGCTTCCTGTGCAAAAAAAAAAAAATGTCTTACAAGGAAAAAAAAAAAACCGACAACATTACGGACAACAAGTCATGAATTTGGCCCACATTCAGTTCCTGAAGGATTGTCATGGTTTTGTCCAACTACGTCAATGCAAACGGTCATTTAAAGTACATGTTGGCTTCATCTTCAAAGTCTACATAAATCAATTTTTCATCACCGCTTCAGACTGGATTTTAAAAAATTCGAGGTATGTTTGTCCAGGCGTTTCTTTTGAGTTTGATGAACTGCAGCCGTTAGTCCGTGGTCAGTGCCCTCAAGTGGAAACCCTGTGTCCTGTGGGTCTGTCCATAGTGGCCATTTACGATGCTGCTTTTATGCACTTTGTATCTGAAAGCTTGAGTGAGTCCAAGAGTACAGTTCAAATTAAGGTGGGAGGTCTCACTACGGTTTGGAATAAAGTAGCTTGAATCAATCAACACCAAGCAGTAATGTAACAAGATCAAATGTGCACCTAATTAATTTTGTGAATTTTGTAAAAAAAAATGTGAAAACTCACAAATGTGTTGGAGGCTGATTAGATCCACTGCCGTTACTGTTTTCAGGCCTCACAACAGCCTCTGCATTTACTTATAAAATTACATCTTTAGGAATCTTCCTTCCCACCTCATGGATCATGGATCCAGGGCAGCCGCTCAACCCCAAGCTCAGGTAACGTCTGAGATTAAGAATGCAGTGATGAACAAACACGGAAAAATAGTCTGCAAATAATTAAATGCAAACCGATAAGACTTTATTAATAGTAGCCTGAATTATAGCCATTTTTCTAAATAAAAATGTGATTTTACAGTAGGTGATACAAATGATATTGATTACTCAGTGAGTGTTGCCGCATGATATCTAACAGTCTTGCTCTTATTAGATTGTATATATTGCCAGCATTAGGTAAATTTCAACATGAGCAAGCTTCCACAATTTTGAAAAAAACAAAAAAACAAAACAAGAGGCAGAAGGTTATATGTGAGTTTTTCAAAAGTAAACAGACAAGTGGACAACACTTTATGCTCCAGACTCAGTTAGCAATAGTGAAATAAATCAGTTTCCCTCAGTAATGTCTCATCTGGGACAGCAGGTGGCAAATGGGTTAAAGAAGGGACTCTACTACCCTTCAGGAACATGTCAGTTCCAAACTGCTCCAGCGTATCATCCAGAAATGGAAACCAGGGTGGAAAACAGCAATGGAACACCAAAACTGAATGAAAAAGGACAGCTATGGTTCCGGACTTCTTCTTAGAACGGTTTGGCCCGGACTGGTGTATTCTGGATCAAGGTCTGACAGACTGTTGCTGAGGTAATTCATTCACACTCAGTGCCAAAAAATGCAGCATCTGAATTTCATCAGAGGAATTTTGGAGAAGCCATTAATCAAACTGGCCCCCGTTCCCCAACAAAGGCCTTGCATCTGGATATGGACGATATTTTCTTTGAGCATCACTAAGGGACCACTCAACTCCGATGGCGCTCTGCTGTTTGGGGACAAAGAAGAAGGGAGAGGAGGACTAACTCCTTTTGTAAAAGAAGCACTCAGGGGCCTTAGAGGGTTCCGTTAATGTGGCACTTCAGGTTTGGCTCAACATCTGTCTTATGAGGAGAGGTTAGCTGAGCTGAATCTGTTTAGCCTCGAGCAAAGGAGACTAAGGGGGGACATGATCCAGGTATATAAGATTCTAACAGGTCTGGATGCTGTTCAACCAAATGGCTACTTCAATATTAGTTTAAATAATAGAACTCATGGCCATAGGTGGAAATTAGCGGGAGAACATTTTAAAATGGATTTCATAAAGCACTTCTTTACACAGCGTGTAGTTAGAGTATGGAATAGTCTCCCTGTTAGTGTAGTGGAAGCTAAATCAGAGCTAGATAAGATTTTAACAACTCTGAGCTATTAGTTGAGTTCTCCCCAAACAAGCTTGATGGGCCGAATGGCCTCCTCTCCTTTGTGACTCTTTTATGTTCTTATGTAAGAGTGACACATTAAGTTAACAATGCAAAAGTTGTGAGTTCAAATCCTAGTGTGTGCATGTAAATTATAACCCTTCCCTCTACTGTAAGTTGCTTTGGATAAAAGCATCAGACAAAAATGCAAGAACTAATGCAGCATAGCAAGAGAAGTGAATGCCAGGCTTTGGGAGTCAGAAGGTTTTGTACTTGCCTTTCATTGATTTACATGTGAGACACAACACAAGGGCAGTCCCTGTTAAGATCAGTTAAGCTTTCATGAGCATAACTAACCAGCATGCTATATGGTACAGAATTATGCTGAAAGCATGTACAGTAAGAGGTCCTTTCGAAATAGCTTTTCCTCATTTCCACTGGAGAAGAACTATTCCTTAAACATGGTATCATGCAGGGATACAGATTCAAGTATCAGAAGATACATAATTTATTCTGGGCTGGAGCAAAACACAGGTTTAACTGGATTCATTAGGCATCGTCATATAGATTGCATTAACAATCCTTTTCTTTTCAATATTTGACTGATTCTTAAAGCCAAAGTAAATGTTCCTACTTCCAAGAAGAATAAAAGAAGACAGTTAATGTTTCTGTGCAGAGTTCCTCTGGGACCTGAGCATTCCAGTAATTCATGGGATACAGCATCCCTCCACGCTTCTGTTCAGATGATTTTTACTGAGCTCAGCAAATCGCGCACTCTGCAATTGTAAATACGCCATAACGTAAAACCTGTGTCAGGCTGCAAGACCGTGCAAGACATCTTCTGCAACTGTAATCAGCTCTTCAGTATCTCACTGAAACTTTTGAGAGCACATTTTTAATGAGTTTCCTGCCACTGACTTAGGAACGCTAATTGATGTAGACAGTGAAGCTGAAGGTATAGTTTTACAACAACATATGGTGCTTTGGAACAAAGCCCAATGTGTCAAAGCACCCTTTACAGCTACTATACAAGCTATAAGATAATACTGTCCAAAAATGTGGAAACCACTTGTGCAGTGAGCAGAATTCACACATGCAGAACTTTCTCGGCTGGGTAATTGGAGCAAAATTATCGCTAAAGGTGGTAACTATAAATTATTAAACCCAAATTGCTTACATGTGTGAGCATCGATGGTTTTCGGCGCATTTCACGGGACGCACAGAAATCAGAGCGGTAGTCCGATCTCTGGAGCACGTTTAGGTGCACTGAGCACCACTGTGAGCACCCTCTAACTCGACGGTTGATAGAAAACAAGAGATGTCTGGACAGCGTAAAATCCCTCCTCCGAATCAGCGTCAGTCGGGATGTGCAAACATGCTCAGAGCAATGTTAGGCAACTGTGACCAGACCTGGACTATGACTTGCCCAAAAATGTGGATTTGGACAAGAAACAAAAACTGAGATATCAGGCATTTGTTGTCCATGACGCTCCAAGGGACAATAGGCCATGTTCTGTTTATTTAAGTTTATTTGTCATCTGTTTCAGCCCCATGTGTTCCTGGGCTGTGAGCAGGCAAAGGAGGTCTCAGTCAGCGGGGATCTTTGGGAGTTTGTGTGAAGGGAGGCGAACTGCTGCCAGGAGCACAGAGACTCTGCAGTGCAGCTGCAGGACGACAATCACACATCAAAAAGTAGAGTAATCCCCCCCACCACCACCTCCCCAGCAGGCAGTATACATAAAGCCTATTGCGGGATCCCGTCCATAACTGAGAATATGCTGCGTCTCCACCACTGAGTGCTCCTTTAATCTAACCCACGTGTCTTTGATCTCCTCCTGAAGTTCACCTGAGGTGGGTTCTGCGATTAGGGCCTGCTCCTCCCCCCAGCTCCCCACCTCTCGCTCTTGAGACTTAATCGCTGTCCATTTTCAGAACCCACACATTACTAGCAAATATATTAAGTGTAACGCATGAAGTGTGAAATTATACACAAGGTGGCTGTAGATAAAAGAGTTTGCAAACCTCTAAAAATAAAAAATAATGAGGATTGTAAAAACACGCACTCGCCAACGCATTGGCGCTCCCAACGGAAGCAGTTTGGGTTGACTTATGGCTCCCGTGGAGGGTAATAATGTACACAGAAGGCACTTGGGATCCTATACATCAGACCAATGCCCCCAGAGGTACTGCACAGCCAGACGTCGCAGCTGTGTTCCAGAAAGTTCCTGCCCTACATGCAGCGTGCTCGTTCCATCAAGCGGCATAGAACGTGCATGTTCTCTTATCCCCATGTCCAGACTGGGGATTTCCCACAGCCAGTC